TGCATGCAATAAAAAAAGTCGGCGTTCAGGGTGTTCGAAAAGAATGGTGTTCCCCCTGTTTGTTCGAATATGGTGAAGGTTCGAAAAGAATGGCGTTCCTTTACATGACTGATTATTCGGCGGATTCGAAAAGCTTGGCGTCTCCGTTGAAAAAAAACTGAAGTGTCGAGATGACACTTGGACAACGATGGCAGCGGCTTCCTCAAGCTTTGTTGCTTTGTTCAATCTTTTGATGTCCAAGCTGGGCATGTTGAACTCCCATGCTCCAGCTTGAGGGGGGTGTTGGAGATAGAAGAAGGAAGCCGGATCGAAGAAGGAAATTGAATCCCTTTGGGATTCGGTTTAGTATATTTCCTAGTTTGTTTATTTCTTGTTTTAGTAGGAATACAAATATGGTAGTAATAGAAGTTTACTTATATGCTTTACTCTCTTTCCATATAAAGGGGGTTAGACATTTGTAATCACAAGCCAATTTAATATACAAATTATTTTCTCTCTTATCAATTTCTACAATATGCAATAAGGAAAATTCTATTTGTACCCCATATTTGTACTGTACTAAAGGTTTAACCTGACATTAAATGTAAGTGCAAAATTGTTGTCATGATAAACATGTTTTCTGTATATTATTATTCAAGCTATCAACCAAATTTACGCATTCTTATTAGAATGAAAGGGAAGTTACAAAATAAGTTCATTTCATCAATATATGATTTCATAAATAAATTATTTTACAAAGCAGTTTAAAATAAATGTTTCATCATTTTTCAAAGATGTGCAATAATCATAAACTTTGGTGCAAAAGGAATTGAACAATTATATATGAGTCGCTTGACAAAAGTCAAACTGCACTAAAAACGGAATCCAATCGAACCAAAGCAATCGGAGGAGGCGGAAGAGACGGTTCAGTTTCCGGGCATGCTCGATTTGGCGGCGGCGGCGATGTCTATGACGCCGCCGAATCCACCTTCCTTGAGATACTGCATATACCGGGAGAACTCCGGCCTGGCGGTGGCCCTCTTACTTTTCCGGCCGGTGTTGAAGAGGCTGAAAATCGGGTGAACCTTGCTGGCCTTCTCCGCTTGTTTCGCCTGAGATTTCGCCTGAGATGACGACGAAGAGGATGAAGGTGATGGGGTGCCAAAGACTCCATTTTTAAAGGATGGGACACTTGAATTTCTGCTGAGCTTTGGGTCGAAGAGATCATGATGGGATTCTTCATCTTTAATCAGCTGCTTATAAGCATGTGGGCTTTTTCTGGCGGTCATTGATCTCAACATGGCCATCCCAACTAAGCTCTAATTTCATACAAAGAAAGAAAAAATACAAAGCAGTTTGCAGAGATAGAGCCTCTCTGTTTACTTGTGGACTATATAAACGACTTGATTCGATTGATTCAATTGAATGAATGAATGAATGAAGGGATTTTATTTTTTGGTTTTTGGGGAGAATATGAAAAGGATTTATTTCTTGAGAGGGGAGGGGAGGGTTAATAATATTGACACATCAATCAAAGTTTCGTAGTTGTGAAATGGAAGGCCAAATGTTTGAAAATTTTGGCCTAATGAATAGTCTTATTTTGACCAAATAAAGGCTGATAATGCGCCACAATTTAATGAATGCGGCCGCGCGTTTGGTTGCAATTGATTTATAATAGAAAAATGCTAGGTGACGCCAAATCATTGCTATCAAGTGTGTATACCTGTTTTGCACACATGATTATCATCTGTTTCGTACAAATGATTATCATATGTGTAATCTGTGCGAAGCATGGGTATCGCATAGATGATTATCATATATGACACATATGATAATAATCTGTGCGACACAGATGATAATCATGTGTGCGAAGCATTAAAGTACTCCTGGTAGCAATGATTTGGGGATACCTTGTCATTTTTCTTATAATAACCCTCCAAAAACTAAGGGCATACTCCCTATTTTGTTCTAGAAGAGAAAGTTTGACCTACGGATTAGCATGCGCCATACATGACTTGCCCCTACTCGTTTAGTCATAAATATGTGAAAGTTACTTTACCAACAAAAATAACATACTTTCACGTATTTATGAGTTTGAGAATTAGACCCTATTTTATAAGTGTGACTAGTATCGACGCTTTAAAAAAATCTCAGTCCTAATTAGGATACGAATAAACGAGTAGTGGCAAGCACTCCATACTAATTTGTGCAGGTCGGAGTTTCTTATGGTGAGATCGCGACGCGATGGACTGCCTAGTATAAAAAGTTCACCGTCCAAAGTTTTAAAGTTTAAAAAAATCAATTCTAATTTTCCCCATTTTGTAACATAAATAGTACGAAAATAATCTCACTTTCTTACTTTCTTAATCATGTAAAGAACATAGGACCCACAATCTTTCTTTTTTATTTAATCAAATATCAACCACTCACGCACAATACAAAATATGATCTAGAAAACAATTTTTCTTGAAAAATATTTTTCTTAAAAAAAATTCTTACATAAATATTTTAAAAAATTTACACTATTACTCTCAAAACTTCTTTTTACTTCAAGATTCAACAAATGACACTCATGGTATGAGGATTTTATATATTTTCATTGGTGCTATAACAATGAGATAAATTTACATTGCTTCCCAAACACTTGGAGCAAATATATAAACATACATAGATATATATACTCCTCGTCTCATTTGAATCTTTTCGCGTCAAAATACAGAATACATAAAATTTGACTTTGTAAATACTGTAGTAAAATATTCAAGTGAGGAGGGAATATCAATTCTATAAGCACCAATATAAACATTTAACAATTCTAGGAATATCATGGCCATTTATTGATTCAAAAAGTATTTATATAAAATTACATAACTCGGAGAGTAATAATGTGATTTTTTCTAGGATATTTTCCATTCAATCAAACGAACCCTTAAATTAAGCTATAAGTTCGTCCTCCCCACCACCCCATATGACCCGTTCCTAAAGTAATTCATGTAGACATTTGACTATTTTCGGATCAAATACAATAATACATGTTGCTACTTGCCACCAAAGTAGGTATTTAATTATCTCAATGTAAGAATTAATTATTACGGAGTATTTAAAAAAAAGAGAAAAAAAAACGAGGAAAGCTAGGCGTATAAAAAGGGTCAGAGATAATGAATTCCAAATTATATGGTACATCTGAATAATAATTCTTCAAAATGTTGTTCATTTTTTCAAGGTGCACGATAAATCGGAGCATAATTTGATATCGGTAGGACATGATTGAGAAATTAACATCGGAACAACAAACTCATTAAAATCTTACAAAAAAATAAAGTCTGAAAAGAAACGTGCATACAAACTTTACCCATACTAAAATATAGAGAGATTTTTTCTATAAAAAAACGTCGATTCAAATAGTGACAAAATAAACATAACACCAACAAAATAAAAGCAAAGAGACAAAAACCATACATACCCACACTAGCAACTACACAAGCTACAGACCAAGATAAAAACACACCGGAATAAACTACAAACTAAGACCCAAAATACACCAGCTGACTAGTTGACATTATGAACAAATTAATGAAAGTGGAAGAACATGATGGTTCAGTAAAAATTTAGAAACATATCAGACCACCACTAGTCAATTTTTGCTGCTGTCACATGACATTAGATGGGAGTACTATCCATATTCCACATTTCTCCCTGGCGTGTTTAATACCTTTTCTTACCCGAAACTGAAAACTTTAGGAGCTAAAGCTGGGTAACTAAGGTTTGTGTCAAAACTAAAAGAGTATAGATTGGCAGGAAAGAGAAATAAAAAAGGTACCCTTCCCTGACTTAGCTATTCTCACAGATTAAAGGTGCAGAATGACTAATTAATGACTTTGACTATCGCTCCTCTGAATTGAACTTGTTCCAAGCTTCCTAAAAATAAAGAGAGAAACAATTAGACTAATTAAAAGGGATGCCAATACATCAAACTTCCTTCACATCAAGAACATATCATCATGTGACATTGTTTGTTGTTGTCTGTCTTATGATATGATACCGGGAAACTCTATGAAGATTGGAGATGATGGGGCCTATCTGGGAATAGCGTTAGAGATTAGCATTAGCGTTTTGAAAAGGCTATCTACGGGCAGCCTTTAGCGTTAGCGTTTTCAAAGTTAATCTGTACCGTTAAAATTTTATTCAAAACACTAACGCTAATCGAAAACGCTATTCCCAAACGGGCCCGATCTTTTCACGTTTGGAAAGGACACCTTTCCTTAAAAACCTACCTCTCTTTAAAACATGTTTTGTTTGAGCAGAGGACCACCTTAGAGTTTTGGTAAGATATTTTTGGCAATAAAACATTAATCTCACTCAATTGTAATATTAATTTGGTAGCTTAGCTATCATTATCATACATAACTTGTATGTGGCCCTTTTTTTTTTGGATACACTACATGAACAATCCAATTCGTTTCCTCAAAGATATGTTTTTTTAAAAATTGAAATATGACTTTTTGGAATGCAAGACGTATTAACTTTGCAAGTGTGTGTGTATTTACATTATATGTGTGTGGTGTTTTAGGAGTATAATGATGGGACTACCTTAGCGGTATAAGACTGAAAGATCCAAATATATATACCTTTAGAAGATCAAAGACCTTTTCACATATATACTTCTGTTGAATGCTTGCACCACGTTGCTGTAATTTGTCAGGGTGGACGCAAAGTGTGGCTTTCCTGTAAGCTTTCTTTACAGCTGCAGAGGTTATTATGTCCGTTAGTGGAACTGCCTGCCAGCCGCTATTGCCCCCAAGAATCTGTCAACAACATAAACATTAAAAAGAATTGGATAGGGTAAACAAATTATGCATAGCAGACAAAAGCCATAGAAGCACAAAACTATGCATTTAGTTAGGATGTATATGTACATACATATTGCAATGTTGACAGCAATGCCCTCAGATTCCCTTCTTTCCCGTTTGACCATCTCTTAACTTCAGCATCTAGCGCTTTGGCCAATCTCTGCAAGCACACCTCATGTAAGGTTATTGTTCAGAAAACCTTTCTTTGTTCAAAACAGATGTCCTATTTAATCAAATGAAGCTAAAACCTATGGAAATTTGTCTAAAAACCGCCAGTGCAAGTCTCACACAAGTTATACCAATGTTTTTTAATAGAACTTAAAAGATGAACGATTCATGATAATCGTACATTACCAAAATAAGCAATAAACATTTATGCAAGACTCTTTTTCGAACGGATGTAGTAATAAGCAATAAATGGGTAAATGTGTAAAGCTATGCCAAGTAAAACGAAGCTTACATTCCTCTCCAGTTGCTCTCTTTGAACAAGAAGATCACGCATGTTTTTCTCTGCAAGAGCCTTGGCCTGAAACAATGCCACATAACTTGAGATGGATACACAGACAAGTATTAAATCATTTCTGTACTCTCCCCCCTCCCCTCCAAAAAAAAGAAGGAAAAGACAAGATGTCACGTACAGCACGCTCAGTCGTTCTTTGATATCGCTCTATTCGAGATTTACATCTCTGAGCTGATTCGCCTTCAATGCCTACAACAAGTCAACAGCTTAGATTAAAAATTTCCAAAAGAAAAAAAAATTACTCTGTAATAAGTTAAAGTGTATATAATTGACTAATGATTTTGTTATGAAATATCATGGAAACGGCTGTTAAGTGTATACCCGCATTGGCAGAGTATGAATATCTCAACTTTGTGGCATGCTGGTTCTGGTGATCCATAATATTCTGTCATCGCCACTTATATTAATAGACCGCTATGGTGTTTGTAACTAACACATCCAAAAACAAACAAAAAGGAAAAAGAGACACTCACAGAAGAGAAATAGTGTGTTCGCATTTCATCATTCCCTGAAAACCTATCAGAATATGATCTATCTACTCGTTCTCGTGAACCATTCATAGCCTTCTCAGCCATTGCCTTCTCAAAGACACGTTGTCGGGATTCAGCATATGGCCTTTCAAGAGTCACAGTCATCCGGTCCTTTTCTCTCTCCCTCTCTCTCTCCCTCTCTTCTTCCATCTTTTTTAGATACTCGTCCCCCAGCTCGTCAGGTATCCTGCTTACGCCTGAAGCCATCTCCTCTATTCCTCCGGTCTTCTTCGTGCTTCTTTGATCTGTCTGTGATGGTTTCTCTTCTAGAACACTCTTTCCATTCTCAGTCCAGTTCCTAACAGTTTGACGTGAAAGTTTCTCTTTAGTAACTTCCTTGTTGATGGTAAACTGCAACCCTTCAATATTGTCCTTCTTCTGACCTTGAAAAGTTATTCCTTTTGTGCCTTCAGAATGGTGTGCCATTTGCGAGGCAGGAGAGACCTTTTTAGGGTGTGATAATTTCACAATGTTGATGCCAGTTTCTCTGGAGTTCAACAAGTGCTCATCCAAACAAGGATGATTTATGACAACTCTATGTTGCAAGTTCTCTTGCTCTTGATTTGCAGAGTTGAATCTTTCCTCGACCAGCAAATTATCAACTTCAATTTTGAATTTTCTTTCACATGCAGCTTTTACTTTCTGATCATCACCCTGTGAAAAGGCTACTTGAGTTTCTTCCGGCTTGTTTGAGCTTTCCTCCTGCTTCTCGGATAATTGGCTCACTTGTACAGCCATAATATTTGGTTTATAAGCTCTACCAAATGCAGCAACGTTCTCCTCATTTTTCCCGATTGCTTCATTGATTTTGGCCTCTTCACTCAATTCTTCCAGCTTACTGTGATCCTTAATAATCCAGTCAATATCAACAAGTTCATCGGCTTCTTCAGATGTGTCATCAACTTCTACCTTAGAAGTTGGGGCTAATCTCACGTCATCTTGCTCATCCTTCTGGGAAGCTCTAGGAAATTGCTTGCTACCATGTTCCCACGTAAAAGCATTCCTGGTCTCGTCATGATAAACATGCATCTTCAAATTCTGATCATTCATTGTGCTTTCCCATTTGACTGTCTTCTCAGCATGTTCTTCCCAAAGAGACTCTTTAATTCTGCTTCTGTTTTTGCATATCTCAAGAGCCTCCACCAGCTCGGCATTTTTTCCTTTTCCTCCAGTGTTGCCTTTCTCTTGGCCGTCTCTTTTTACCTCCACAAGCATGTTCTTTGAGATTTTTCCATTTGATGTTTTGTCACCCGAAGGCATTTTCCTTCTATCATACTTTTCAGTATCTGCTGTTTCCTCCTCTCTCCTTTTACATTCGAATTTATCAGATCCATGATTTGATTTTGGTTTTGTTTTGAATGTGTCCATATTCTGCTCAAAAACCTCTTTGGCCACATTTGGTTTCTTCATCTCTTCTTCCCTCAATGGCTGCTGCATTTCAGTTTTAAATTTCTCGGGTGATTCCTGTGGGTATGCTTTGGTCACTTCAAAGAATCCCATTACTTCCCTCCATTCCACACTATTATAAGTACCTTGAGAATAACCTCCCTCCGGTTCACTTTCTGAAAACTTTCCTGCAAAAGTGATGCTTTCCCCTCCTTCAGGTTGATCAAGATCAACCTTAGAGGGATTGAGGGTTGGATTTGGTCTGGTAGGTGGTGGTCTTGCTGGTGGTGGCAATTGAGAAGGCTCAGTCTGCAACTGAGCTATGTGTGAAGTCCCATCTGTAGCATATGAAATGTTGAACTGCTTAACATCATTAACCGGGTAGAGCAAATCAGCATTGGCCAAACTCTCACACTTACCAGAAAAAGCAGACGGATCAGAATCATCCGACAGAGATTCACTCTGAGCTGGACTCCTAAGGTATGAGAGGGAAGAATAAGATTAGATATGGTAACCCTATTGTATACCTATGTTGCACAGGAACTTCAAGCGTTTGTTCTTATTCTTATCCCCGAAACGTACCTGTTTGGGTACTCGAGGACATTCAGACAACCAAATCGTTTGTAAAATTAAAAGAAAGTTGGTGTTTCCCATTTCCATTTTCATTCCCATCCCCACATGAGTATACTGCTCATCAAAAAAGAAAACTGAGGGCTTAGCCTCTATGGACCTACCGTTCACTCCAAGGCATTCCCAGGTCTAAGGAAGAAGAGTTAGCAATTTCTTTCCCCAACAAGATGAGGAGATTTCCTAATAAACCCATAGGTGTAGTGTGGTGTGTCTAAAACCTTATCTTCTCAAATCCTAATAAACCCTCAAAGCTAGTAACCGAAACACCAATCCCTGTTGCCTTGTTGCAGTTCAAGAGCCTCAAAATTTTCACAGTCCAGTTTCATCCCAACATAAGGTAAAACTAGCATTCTAAGAGAAGGTAAAACAGAATAATCCTTCAAACAAACTAGAATTCTGGCACTAATCTGCTTCCAAATAAACTCCCATTTTTCTTAACAGTACTCCTGAGTATGTTAAAATCTTGATCCAGAACTAATTCAGAAATTTTAAAAAAATTACTCCCTATTAGGTAAATATGAACAGACCTAAAAATTACTCGGTTGTTTAAGCATTCTTCATCAATCTCCCATACAACATTAAGTTCACACTAATGAAGCAAATGAGTCAAAAGAGCAGAGGGTGATCATACCATGCCTCGTCTGAGGAATTGTACCCAGCATTAGGCAGTCCCATCAAATCCTCGAGCGAAACAGCAAAATCCACAACATTGAACCGCCCGAAAATCTGAGTGTAGTCGAACCGCGAGGCCCGGCCATCGAGAGACTTGAGATCGTCGCCGCCGCCGGCCGTCGGGAGATCCAGAACCGGGATGGAGGAGGTCCGGGAGGAGCGGAAGCCTCCGAAAATCTCGTTGTAGTCTTCGGGGCCGGGAGACAGGGAAGGGGCGCCGGCGCCGGTCTTCGGCGGTCCTCCGAAAAGGTCGTCGTAGAGCGACTTTTTGCTGGCTCTGGCTGAGAAGCCATTGCCAAGGCGAGTCCGGGAGAGGTTTTCCATTTCCATCTCTCTGTCACTAACAGAAAAGCTCTGAACATACGGACTGCATTTCTGTGTATTATGAAGGTGGAGGGAAGAAGGGCAGAACGGTAATTACGGTGGTCATAAGGAGCTTCTTGGTAAAGGGTGTTTCTCTTTTCGGAATTTAAATTTTAAATTTGAAAATAAAAATGTAAGATTGGGAGATGGGTGTGTGATTGGTGGGGAGTAATTATCAGAATTATAAATATGGTTTGCAAGAGTGGGAGTGTTTGGTAATTGGAATTGATTAATCATAATTCAAACGTGGGGTCTAAAATAGTAAATAATTCAAAAATAACTATGATCACTTGTAGCTCTATAATCTTTTTTTAATATAGAGACATAATTGAATTTGTGAGAGCTTAAAATATTGATAAAACAATGTTTTAAGTGATTTTTTTATACTGTAGTAAATTTCATAAAAGATTCATGGTTATAAGTCGTTTTTCATATTTAGTTTTCATATATCAAATATCAATGATTTAGTCTTAAATTATTATATTATTTTTCACGAATGATCATTTGTGAATAATCCTGTTAATAAACATCGATAAAATTGTAATTTCACGCTTCTCTCTCTCTAAGTTTCCTCCCTCCTCTCATACTCCTTTCTAAACCTGTCGATGAGTTAAAAGCTCTGAACTCAAAATCAAAATTATCACTACTCTCTCAATTGTTCATCTTCCTAGTCGAAACTAGTAATCTTCATAGATATCGATAGTGAGGTTGTTTTTAAGGTATTCCAAGAGAGTTTATTGCACCAATATCCCTTGTGGTTTGGTAAATGTGCATCATTATTCTTATGATTACGAAACCTACGCCCTTACCCCCTGTGGTTCTAAAAGTCTTATGTTAGTACCTCTCTTGACTAAAATATCCTTCAAATATTAAATGAATAGCTCCGTTGTGACTTATGATTTTAAAAATGTGCACTAACGCCCCTTTTTTCTCTAGTATCTTGTTTCCTTAAAGAAAAAAATTGATTATGTTTGAAATAATGATAATATTTTTTTAAAAAACCATGTTTTAAAAATGTTTTAAAGCATAAAAATTGTTGGTGTTTGAAATAAAAAATTTAAAACATACTCCGTACTTCATTTGTCTCAAATTAATTTTTTTTTTCTAAAAAAAGTTCTTTTTTTTAATCTATAGGGACCGAAAGAATACAAAGTAAAGTCTTTTTTAATATTTATTTAATTATATACTCATAATATATTTTTTGAATCGATGCGTGACAAATTTTCTTCATAACTTCATTTTCCTATTCTACAAAAGTATTTTTTTCAAATACTTTTCTTCTTTATCAATTTCTTTTCTCTTAATTTAAATAAAAGAAACTTTATAAAATTAGTTTTTTTTTTCAATTCATGAAGAGAAAAATAATTAAAAACTACTCCCTCCGTCCCCAATTTGATTACAAATTGGGATTTGCGAGGAAAAATATCTCACTTTTTGAAATTATTTTATTTACAAATTGGTATATCAATAAGAAATAAAAATTACATATTAAAAAACAAGAGGTGAGAAAAGTATTTTATTTGATCAAATTATTAATGAAATCACGTAAACAAACAAAAATTATTTAGAAAAAAAAGAAAAAAAATTGTAATCAAATTGGGAACGGAGGGAGTAGAAAATATGGAATAAGGTTCTGTATAAAAAAGTGAACATTTTTAATTGATTTTTGTATCATGAAAATGAACCAATAATATTCTTTTCTGGACAAAATAAAATTATTTAATTTGAGACAAATGAAGTGGATGTTAATTATTTTTATTTTAATTGATTTTTTATTTCAAACAAAAACTTTTATTATTAAATCATTACCTAGTATAAAAAAAGTTTTAAAATAACTTTAAAACATTTATGAAAAAGTTTTAAAAAAGATCTCCAAAAATATTAATGAAAAATGGAAGAAAAAAGAAAAATTATAAAGAAAAAAAGGAGAGGGGTGATGGTGCCCATTTCTAAAATCATAGAGAGCAACGGCACTCTTCATTTAATATTTGAAGGGTACTTTAGTCTAAAGGTGCATTGGCGTAAAAATATTAAAACCACATGGGGCAAGAATGTAAGTTTTGAAACTATAGAGAGTAACAGTGCACATTTAGTAAATCACAGGGGTATTGGTGCAATAAACTCTATTCCAAGATGATGTGGAGGTTTCTTCTTGTTTTATGCGGGTTTTGTTTATAAGAGAGCGATGCGAGACTTGAAGCTCTCACTTTGTTAGTTGTTAGAAGATCAGCGAATTAGGTGGCTCATATGCTTGTTCGAGCGTTTGATTCTGAGTCTAATTGACTGGAGTGAGTTCTTGTTCCTCTGACAAATATTTGTGAGACGTTGTATTCTGCATTCTGCAACAGAATATTATTACCGTTTTTTAAAAAAATAATGCAATTGAGTCAACAGCACTAAACAAATGAATAAAAATAAAAACTAAATACAGAGAATGTACTTCTTAGGATCTACAATACTTTCAATTGGGACGAATTTTCATAATATTTTCATTTTTCAATCACGAGTGAAAACTTCAATTCAACAAATATGTTTCCACGTACTTCTTGTTCAGTCTTTAAAATAAAGTCATTTTTTTCGTTCGTTTCTAAATAAAATTCACGCATTGCACCTTTAGAAAAATTGCACTAAATAGGACTAAAACATAAGTTATTTTTTAATGTAGGACTTAAACTTTTTTATTACCTAAAGAGGACTTAATAATGTCTATGGGAAGAAATAATGTCCAGTGATGGAGGACATTTACTTGAATAATGACTAATTAATAATAACCAATGATCATATATTGGGAAATAAAAACATATGATCCAATATTGAGAAAGTCATTATATTTTAGTCCTATTTAGGTAAATTACTTGAATTTATTTACAAATTAGTATTGAAATAAAAAATATAAGTTATATATTTAAAAATTACATAAAAAAGTTTTATAAAACAACAAGTAATAAAAATATTTTATTTTATCAAATTATCAATGAAAATATGTAAATAAACAATAGTTATTAAAATTGAATCAAATCATAAATAACTTTAAATATAACTACCATTAAATCAGATCAAATTAGATAATATATTTAATCAGATTATAATAAATAATTAAATCAAATCAGAAGCAATCATATAAGTTGAAGAGAACAAACCTTATATAATCACACAAATTTGGGCATAAAATAAATAAATTTAGTCAAAAAAGTGTGAACTTAGTCATTTTAATTTGTAAAATAAATTTAGCCAAGCTAAGTATAGAAGAATGGATGGCTTTGAATAGAGGAAGAAGGGAGTCTTGCATAAGTTTGATTGAGGTGAAAAGTGCACGACATAAATGCATAGGATAAGGTGTGCTTTTTCAAATTTATTCCATAACAAACACTCTTTAATTAGTACTACGGAGTATTAGATCATATAATTTGATTTCGTAAAAAGAACTAGTATAATAATTATGTTTAGGCATGCTTATTACTTGTAGTCTTGGTTGACTTGTTGAATGAAATCTACCTTTCTTATTTATACAAAATTTAGAAATTTGTAATTTTAATCAAATACTTTGTCCGAGTTTATACGTAAAACAGTATCAAGCAACTTTAGAATGATGCAGTAAATTGAACACAAGGGAGCCAAACTCAATATAAATGAGCATCCAAATAAATCATGAAACATATAAGTCACGAAACTCCGTCTAAGATGGTCAAACCATGAAACAAAATCGTGTGGTCCTTATTATTTTTCTTTACTTGACACAAATTACAATATCACTAGTTTTATCTAAATAAAAATTGTATCACTTAAAGTCAAACAGAGAAGAACATTATATGACGGAGTGAGAACTTAGTGTCTTTTATCTCACACTTTTATATCACATCGCCGTATACTCGTGTCATAGCATACTAAGGCCCCATTCCGTTCAACTTATTTTTTCTTATTTTTTCTTATTCTTATTAAAATCAGATCAGATCAGACCAGATCAGATCAGATCGAATCAGATCAGATCAGATCGAATCAGATCAGATCAGGACTTATTAAAATCAGATCCCATCAATTATTATTATTATTATTATTATTATTATTATTATTATTACTATTATTATTATTGTTGTTGTTGTTGTTGTTGTTGTTCTTAAAAATGAAGAAGAATAAACTTTAGAAATAGGTTAAATAGAAAACTGAGAAAGTAATCCTTAATTATTAGACGTCGGAAAAATTAGTTTTAAAATACATTTACAATATCAATCTAATTCTACTTTTAAAATATATTTTTATTTCTATTTGTAATTTGAGTTTCTAAAGTTTTGATCTTTTATAAGGATGAGATATTTTAATAAAAATACTATTTCTTCTATATATTGATTATCTAAATTTAATTACTTTATAATGTATATCTAAATTTAATATTTATTCTAATGTATATATGAAGTAATTATTAAAATATTAAATTAATATTCTAATTTCACAAAAAAATAAACATAAAATAAAAAATATTATTACATTATAATATGAATGATTATTCTAATATATGAATTAACTAATTTCATTTTATTAAGAAATAATTATTAAGTAAAAAATATTGATTATATTATAATATGAATTATCATTACAATTTTCAAACGTTATTATAAAGTCAAATTAAATTATTGATTTGAATTTTTAAATTAAATCATAATTAATCAGATCAGATAAGACCAGATCAGATCAGATCCAATCAGATCAGATCAGATCAGAACTTATTAAAATCAGATCAAATCAGAAAAAATAAGTTGAACGGAACGGAGCCTAAATAAGAGGAACTATGGAATACGCGTTCAAAATGTTCTTTCATTCCGAATTAATCGATATATTTTCTTTTTAGGTTGTCTCAAAAATACATGCACTTCTTTACTTTCGTAATCAAGCAAATGATATGTGATCCCTAATTCTCCTCTCTCTTCTAATAAACAAGTTTCAAATTTTAAAACACTCAGTTTCTATTTTTCAATATTTTATTTAGATTACGTGTAGTCAAACCATCCAAATTAAACGGGGATGAAGGTAATGCATACCCCCTCTATCTCAAAATCTTTTTCCCATTTTGTCTTTTTTGGAATTTAAGAGTGTAATATTTTTGTTATCATTTTCCTAAATTACCTTTAATTTGATGTTGAGAGTAAAAGTAAGATGTGATTGTAGATTAGTAGTGAATATATGTGAAAGGGAAAATCTTTAAGGAGCATAAGGAGTGTTCCTCTTATTTATAAATATAATATGGAACAAATATAATATGTTTGGTTATTTATAAAGTCATGAATTCATGATACCATCAATGGCATCAAAACACTGATAGTACCAATTTAATGGGGACTGTACTCTCTGATCACAATGACTATGAGAAATTTACCTAAATAGAACTAAAATATAACGACTTTCCCAATATAGGACCATATGTTTTTATTTCCCAATGTTGGACTTTTGGTCATTAACAAGTAGTCATTATTCAAGTAAATGTCTAGCATTACTGGACATTATTCCTCCCACGAAGTCATTATTAAGTCCTATTTAGAGAATAAAAAAGTTTAAGTCCTATATTAGGAAAGTCATTATGTTTTAGTCCTATTTAGTGCAAATTTCACAATGACTATTTGTGTACATTTGAGTTATGTGATATGAGGAGGGGTGATCGGCGATGATTGAATATGATTGATATGATATAGAGTGATGAAAAATGTGTACGTGGTATGGTGAAGTGATAATTGAGAGTGATGAGTGTGGAGATTGTTATAGTTGGTTAGAATTAAAAAAAACCCTCGCCCCTTCACCCGGTGACCCTAGTCACCCCCGGTGGGGTTGCGCCCTGATTGCGCCCGCCACATTGCCGTTACCCCCCCCCCCCCCCTTTTCTGTGGTGTTAACCTTGTTTTCATTCTTGAGATTAAAGTAACATTATTGCCTTATTAGTAAATGTCAAGGAACCAATTTAACCAAAAGTTCAAGTTTGTGGTTGTGGCCCAAAAAAGGTTACTTGTATTCTAACACGCCCCTCATGTCAGGCATAGTCTTTTTTCGAACCTTGCATGCGAAACTTTAATATATTTTTAAAAAACTGGGTAGCACTGAGTTTCGAACCTGTGATCTCTTAGTCGACAAGGCTCTAATACCATGTCAAGGAACCAATTCAACTAAAAGCTCAAGCTTTTGGTTGTAGCCCAGGAAAAGTTACTTGTATTCTAACAGTAATATATCTCTTGGTAATGATTACTTCCTCCGTTTTAAAAGTATATTCTTAGCTACCATACATATAGATCTCTTGGTATGTGTGAAGCGTACATATAAATAATTCTTTTAACTCCTACGCGGTGATCTTAGTTCGAAGTCGGGTGGCTATGATGAGAGATAACTATGTAAAGCATGGGCCTTTGCAATACTAAGTACGGAAATTCTACCGCTACGCCAACTGACTGATCATTATAGTTCAATTTACTTCCTCTAACCTAATTGTCTGGTCGGTGCCAAAGGCTTTCAATATTCAGATATAGACTTCATATTTAAAAAATAAGTCCTATATATATATGTGACGATCTTAGTTCAAGCTTTTTCTTTAATGAGTTACTCGTACAATGCATGTTTAAGCATGCAATTTGTATTTGAAGACCGATGGCACCACGTAACTGGCCCACTAATAATGCATGTTTTTGAAAAATATAGTAATGCTTTATGAAGTGATGGAATATATACGTTTGAAGTGGGCTCAAATCGTTTCTTAAATGTGACCACGTCAGGAGACAATTAGCACAAACAACTTGAGTACGTGTGGAACCAATTAAATTTACAACAGTAACAATGTTTACGGTTTAGGAAGTTCTGTTTCTTGATGGCCCGCAGAGAATATAATCTTTCTTTATAAATTAATTGACAAGCTCCCTAGCTAAACTTCCTATTAGAATTAATTGAATAAAGATAATAATAAGTTAATATGCTAATTGAATTGTTTAAATTAGTCTACTAGGTGTATTATATTTATTCAAAACAAAAAAGTTTGTCAAAAACTTGATTGACAAAATGACAATGTATAGACTCAACTCTTCATTCAACATAGCTTGTGGCTCTGCATGCAAATTGCACAGTCAACTCTCATGGCTTCAGTCGGTGTTCAAATATTCAAATATAAACGCGTCTCTCCCCTCTATTTTTTTCCTTTAATTTTACTATTAGATATCGGAAGATGCGAACGAAATAATTCAACCAAAAATTCAAACTTGTAATTGTAGGTACAAAAAAAGTTTTTATATGGAGTATTCTAAAACGCCGTCCTCTCACGTGCAGGCGTGGCCACTTCGAGCCTTGCACATGAAATTTTATTTTTTTGTCTAAATGATACTGAATTTTGAACTTGTGGCCTCTTAGCCAATAAAGTTATGATATCATATAAAAAACCAACTTAATCAAAAATTCAAGCCTTTAGTTATAAGTCTATAAAAGGTTTTTATTTTCTAAAAGAGTAATAGGGGCCGGGGGAAAATATTCATAACTTCAAGCTTACGTAAATCGGAAGGTAGAAATGCACTAATATGTACGGAGTGTGTTTTTTCATGTAGAGATTATAATTAGGGATGCTTTCAAACATGTGTGACCTACGTATGAATTTAGAGTATGAACACAAGCATCGATCGAGAATTTAGATATTTAAATTGGAATTTGAAGTATTAATGTTTTCCTCTAAAAGAGGGTTCTTATTTTTATACTACATCCGTTATTACATATTTGTCCAATTTTGACTTTTTCAATTAACAATTGGCATATAATTAATTAAAATACGTGTTGTATATTAATTAGATAAAATAATATCTTGAAAATATTTTATATAATAAATCTTATAAAATTATTTTTTTTAACAATATCTAAAAAATTATTATCATTCTTACAACAATGTAATCGGGGAGGGGGGGGGGGAGGGAGGGCACCAATGGTGCTCCGATCCATTCGTATAACTGATTNCCCCCCCCCCCCCCCCCCGTAAATCCCCCCAATCTCGTTACTAACGCAGACTCCCACATCTTCCAACTGCACCGTCTTTCATTTTGGTCAAAAAATTGGCCAAAAAATCAACAAAATGAAAAATACAATTGGAGGGGGTGCGTTGCAGGGGGGTTTAGCGAAAGGTTAAGAGTGTAGGAACAATAAATTTTAGGAAAAAAGCCAATATAGGAGTAAAACATTAAAAATATATCAAAATAGGAATTTCATGTACTGTTTTTATTCTCGAAATGGGTTAAATGCATATACATTACCATATACCTTACCAAAAAGATACTATGAAATATCTATTTACAATGTTACATTATTACAATGCAAAATTTTATTTTGGAAATAAAAACATAAAACTTTTATTTTGGTACTTTCTCTATGTTTTACTTCTATTTAGAGTAATTTTTGTTGAAAAATAAAGACCCTCTAATTAAAATTATAAAAGTACTCTCAAAATCACTTTACTCATTCCTTAAAAGGTTAATACTCTCAGCCATGGGTGGCCCGGAGAATGTGCAAAGTGGCCAACTGCACAGGGCCAAAAAATTTTTAAGACTATATATTTTTATATTCATAATTAATTTTGAAGCCTAAGTATTCTAAAATTATAAAATAAGACCCAAAATGTAAATTTTGGACGAGACCAATTTTAATTTTTTATTTTTCGAGACTGGCCCTGCTCTCTCTCAACCTATTGTAGCGGATTTCCTTCACATTAAAATTTCATGTACATGCTTCAAATTGATAAATTTTGGGTCCTTATTGTATCTCGTTCGAAAAATTGATAGAATCATCTCATTATATCTTTTCTTTCCGTCTACAATCTCTAATATCATCTCAAGAACTTGTATTTTTCATTTGTTCATATATACAATATTTAATTTTTATCTGGTCAAACCGTTCCAAAATAAAACATTTCATTTCTCCCAATCTCCAATGATCAAACACATGCCATAATTAGGAGGTGTTTTTCTGTGTTGATATTTCTTGCCTTATTGCTGATAAACAAATTTTAACTTATAAATTGTTTATAAGCCAAATATTTTTTCGTAAAATTAAAATGACTCAAATGATAAATAAGTCATTTGGAAATACTCATAAATGGTGAGGGATACTTTTGAAAATAATTTGGTAAAAAAAGAGAAATGAAGAAATATGTCATCAACTGGTTATTAAATTAAAAATTACTTATAAATAGTTTTGACCAACTCATAAAATAGAAAAATATACATTTATTCTCTCCAATCACTTTGAGCTATTGGGGGTATGGTTTCCTTTTCTCATAGTCCCGTCTTACCAATTCATTGTCACACCAACTTTTCTTTTTACTTCCCCTTTCTTTCATCTATACTCTATAGGGGTGTAGTTCCCCTTCTTTTCCCCTTCCCTTCTATTCTTTAATACTTGCCTTCTATTCTTTAATACTTGTCCGTCCTTGAGTGTTTGTCCATTTTTTACTTTTGAAATTGTTCATCTAAGCACTGACTTATCAAACTCTCTCAATGTGTAAGCCTAAAAATAATCATGTGTGATCTTGTTTGATTCGTCTTAACATATAGATTATTAATATATAATTTTTATAATTTTTTAATATACAAATTACAAGATAAAATAGATTAAAGAAGTGCATTGGATGGTGTGCAAAAATGAAAGTGGACAAACACTTAGGGACGGAGGGAGTATTATTATTTTTTAACATCTTAATTTAAATTGATTAAACTAAAAACATAAAATACAATTAAATAACACGAACCTAAAAAACTTAAAATATAAACTAAAAAATGAAATTAAAAAGCATAAAACTAGAAAAAAACTAAAAAAAATCAAAAACTTAAAACAAATAAAAAATAAAATTGAAGAAAAAAGGAAATGCAGAAAGAAAAAGAGGGAAGGCATCAACAACAAAAAAAGAAATGAAAAAGCAAAAAGAGAGATGGCATTGCAGGATTGGCCGGTGCATGGATAGTACCCACGAGTGCCCCTTCCCCTCTTAGAGATAATCACACATTTTTGTTTGTGATACAACCATTACCAATGACTCAATGAGACACTAATCAGTGTAAACTTTGGCATCATGCGTGATGTGCTTGTAGCATGACCTTATTCTTAAGGTCACTTAATAATACATTATCTCTGCTATCGTCGTCTCTTAAAAATAAAAGTTCAGGAGCGCAAGTGAGGGCATCATAGAATACTGAGGAACAAAAAGTCTTTTGTTTCCCGCGTCAAATGATTACCCGAGTCCTCTCCAGGGAGACTTAAAACAGAACTGCTGCTTGATTAAAAACATATGTTATATGCTAAGAGGGCAAAAGCAGTTGATATACTTTTACCAGAATAAGAATTCAGACAGTTACTTGGCCAAGGAGGTGCCCCCTGAAGGTTCAAAAACCCCAATCCGCTGCTAGTTACTGCCGCAAGCTTTCCACAATGTAAGAAGCATACAAATCCCTGAGCTCACAATACAGAACAAAAAGTTTGGACTTTGGATTTGGGACAACAATATGTACATTTGCTTCTTTTAAAATAGAGGAAAAAGAAAAGGTCTGCACTTCAAAGCCCGAAGGCTCACACCTACTCTTGGGTCATGTTTCGTTCACGAAAAATGCTAGGAAAAGAGAAGCATTGTCAATGGAGTTTTATTCTACCACAGAAAATACAACAAAGAATGTAAGATGATTAATGTTTTTTTTATTTTGTTTACATATGTTTAGATTTGGTTGTTTTTATTATAAAATAATACGGAGTATAAAATGGAAACAGGCACTCATGAGTAAAATTAGTTTGAGCATACACCAAAAAATAATTTCATCAAGTTTTTCGTACAAATGTTTCATTTTCCCTCATTTGTTTTCAATATCCAAAATTTCCTAATGTTTTCATTTTCCAAAATTTCCTCAATGGAGGAATGAATGTTTATTAATTTTATTTTGGGTGACAGAATGCACTACAGTGAGCATCAACTTACATGGAATACTTGATAGCATCAACAGCAGCTTCTGCAGGCAAAAAGTCTTCCACTGCAACTGATTTGTTCTCATTCTTCTTGTCTGTTATCTTATGGTAAAGGATATTAAAATATACATGGATGTGGAAAAAAGTTTGATCATAATAAGATATCTGATGAACAAAGGCAAATGTTTGAACTTCTTGCCCATTGTTACTGGCATAAAGGTATGGAGTATTATTTAAGGGCTCTTAGAAATAACATGCCATAGGAAAAATAGTGGACAGGGTAAGCATGTGGTTGGGGGGATACAGTCCTCAAAAAAACGGCGGATCTCTGCAAGACGATGTGGAGGTAGTTCTTTGATGTCATTGTAATGACGAAACTCAGGATCATCTGCACACACTGCTATTATCTTGTCATCCCTTTCACCCTGTCAGGCCATTTCATCATCCTTTATGCTATAATTGTGATGCACAATGCAGAAAACGGGAAGGGAAAAACAATGGCTAGGAAAATGGTATTTTTTGTCTTTGGCTTTACATTGGAAAACACACAAGGAAAAGCATTTTTTCATAATAACTTATTAAAATTTTACATGTATTTAAACTCCGTATCTATATAGAACTAATTTTTATATTGAACTGACCTGATCGATCATAGGCATTAATCCAATTGCACGGGCACGAAGGAAGGTACTAGGCAGCACAGGCTCCTACATGAAAAGGGAATAGTTAGAACTAAAGAAATTGGTCTATGATTTATAATAATAATACCTATGTTAGTATAACACTAACCTGCATAAGTATGAGGACATCCATTGGATCACCATCATCGCAGATAGTCCTTGGAATAAACCCATAGTTATGTGGATAAACCACGGATGAGTAGAGAACTCGATCAACCTACCAGGTAGAAGTCCAGTTACTCATTGAAAAGAAGTATAACTCTGTCTGATTAATAAATTACAAGAAAGAAAGAAAAAACAAGCTTGAGCAGAACAAGGTATATTTTTCATCATTTTACTAAAAGTGCATTACACAATATTTAACACATCACAATCAATGATCCACAAGCATTCTGAAACCCCAAACCGCAATACTGAATAAGGTGTTGCATCTAGCAAGATGGTTTGTGTACTCATATGCGGAAACTTTCTTATTCTGATAATTATCCGAACATATGGGGGCTGACATATTCGTTTCTAGATCTCATATAAGTACTTTTTTCTGCACGGCACTACTGCTATACCAAAAAATCTGATGTTTGTAAAGCGGATTTCAATGATACAAACAATACTTTTTTGGGATGGTGGTAGTATATCATCATCATCATCATCTTAATCCCAGCTAGTTGGGGTCAGTGGCATGAAATTTATGGTGCTAATTAATTTATAGAGCTAATATTATTATGGCACTATAAATTCACGCAAAAATGCGTAAATTTTGCATATCCATGTACCATATTAGACCATGGCAGTCAGGTTTAATTAAAGAGCAAGGTAAAAAAGAGGTGGCTAATTGGCATTTGAGAAGCAAACAGTTGAACTCACTTTGATCAGGCCACTGTTTTTATCAAGCTCATACTTAACCTTTCCACCCTTTCCAATTTCAACCACCTGTAACATAAATTTTGACTTTAGTTGCAGCAAATTCCAGTATGTAATATAGGATATTAGAACATTGCATGTAAACTTACACAATTAAACACCGCTGGTGCCCCAGGACCTGCAACCTCACAGCGATGAGCATGAGTGATTGTAACATCTAAAATAACTAACTTACAAATTCGGTAGCAAATATTACCAATTTCCAAGTCATGCCAGGGATGAGCAGCAACAGATTTGTGAGACATAGAGGAAAGGATCCTTTCATTCAGCGCAACATTAGAGTTCCCCGAGTTATTGTTTTTGGCCATTTTTAACTAACCGCAAGTTAAGAAGAACAGAATCAGCAAAACAAGTAACATCATGATGAACATATTACCTTAAGAAAAACTATGGCAAGTTTGAAGGCTATCAAATTGATCACTCGTATTTGCAATTGGAAAACAATTACATTCATTAAACCTCTCAGACAATCATAATCATATATATCAGGTTTTAAATCTCTCTCTTGATTATCATTGAGAACCAATACAAATTGAAGCATTTGGAAGTATAGAAACCAACACAAAATCCAAACAACGAAGTTAAGAAGAACTCGGAGCACATAATAACATTGATCGTAGTTATGATCGGCATGCGTCAGTTCATGTAAGATATATACTTATAATTCATATAAAAACATAGAGAATCGAAACGGAAAGGACATCGGAGAAGCAACTGATCGCAATAGCAACTATACCGAGCAACTACAAACCGAAACATTTCGAAGCCCTAGTCTAGGCAGAAACGCGAATAAACAAGGGGAAGAAAGAAGTGCAGAGTAAATACCAGTGAGAGGGAGGAAGAAAGAGATGGCGGGGCGAGAAGAAGCTCTTCGTTTCCGATTGGATTTGTGACGCCGACGGCCGGTGGTGAAGGGAGACGGGATTATTATTTGTAGTGGATTTCGTACATGGAGCACTGAGCAGCAGGGGTCAATGCGAGTCGTTGGATGATCAAATGTGTGCTTTGATCAAACGGACAACTTTGCAACCCCAACTTGGCAAAATTGGTAAATAAATTGTTGTCACGCCCAATTACTATTGTCACTTCATTTTCTTATACACCTTCCACACCTCAATAATGTTTTACAATTGACCTGATAGGAAAAATAAAAAAAGTAAAATTGTACGGAATATAAAAAGAAAAATGAAATTTATTTTAGGATAACAAAAAAAGAGATACAGAGTAATTCGTATAAAATATTATTGCAGGACATAGAGAGTACTACTCAAATAGTCAACTGTCAGATTGATGCATGTTAAAAATAGTGCTGTACAAGATGACTCGGGCTTGAATTTTGATATTTGGAAAAAAATTGACCATGTTAAAAATAACAAATTGTGAGTGAATTTCATAAATGATTTTCGTCAATTCTTGAAAAATATTTCATATTTAGGATTTGAATAAAGCCCACTTGCCCACAGGTTAGAGCTGTCAAATTCGTCGGTAAGGTCTGATTTGGGTTACATCGACTACGGGTAAGTTTGGAGTCGGATTGAGAATAACACGTTCATGATCCAACGAGTTATAAGATTAATTTAGAATATTTAAACTCATACTAACAGTTGCATTTTTACTAAAAAATAAAATAAAATTTCAAAATACATACGTAGTAGAAAATATTATTTTGAATATTTACCTACTTTTTATATAAATCCAAAAAAATGAAATTTTTAAATACTTGGTCCGTCCCTGAGTGTTTGTCCACTTTTGACTTTTGAAAATGTTCATCTAAGCACTTTGACTCATCAGATTCTCTCAATGTGTAAGCCTAAAAATAGTCATGTGTGATCTTGTTTGATTCGTCTTAACATATAGATTATTAATATATAATTTTTATAATTTTTTAATATACAAATTACAAGATAAAATGGATTAAAGAAGTGCATTGGATGGTGTGCAAAAATGAAAGTGGACAAACACTCGGGGACGGAGGAAGTATTTACCATTTTTGAGAACAATGTAAGATAACTATGTAAGACTATTAAAATCTTGTTTTAAAATACTCTCTATATGTTTACACCTAAAATGACCAAAAAAATTGAAAACATAAACTTATGTTATTCCGTTATTTTTCGTACTAATACTAATACAGTAATACATACTTTTGAAGAAAAAAAATCTTATGTTGGCTAGTAGGCCAAGTTCAAGTTTTATCCTGTTTGACCTATTTTTTAGTAGGTCATTCCAAATCCTGTAAATCAGTTTTTAGTTTAAAAGTTAAAGCATTTTTTTCGGGTTAGGTTTATAGTAAAAAAAAATCATTTTTTCTAAGTTTTATCCACTTAAAGTACCTCCAATGGAAATTTTGGTGTTGACGAGAATATTTATTTCATCAAATAATTTATGAAAAAAGACAAATAAATACTCCGTAAAAGTTTTCGTAATTTTTAAAGTGAAATTTGCACTCAATAGGACTAAAACATAAGTAATTTCTCAATGTATAACTTAAACTTTTTTATTCCTTAAATAAGACTTAATAATGACCAGTAAGAAGAATAATGTACAAGTGATGCTGGACATTTAGTTTAATAATGACTAATAGATAATGACCAATGGTCCTACATTGAGAAATAAAAACATACTTCCTCCATCCCTAAATATATCTCACATTTCTATTACCGAGGTAAAATATCAAATTTTTTAATTCATTTTATTTACATATTGGTATAGAAATAAAAAATAAAATTTACATATCAAAAAACTACATGAAAAGTTCTTCGAAATAAAAGGTGTTAAGAATATTTTATTTTATCAAATAACTAATGAAAATGTAGAAATAAACAAAAGTTCCCGCGACGGCTGAAAAAGTAAATGTTGTAAATATTTTGGGAGGGAGGGAATATGATCCTATATTAAGAAAGTCATTATATCTCAGTCGTATTTAGGTGTATTTAGGTAAATTTGGTAAAGTGTGTCATTTAGGAACAATTAATTTTTTTTAGAGATGCTCATTCCCATTTCCCAGTACCTAACTCCATTCACAGATCCAACGAACTTGCAGTACTACTGCATCACTCTTTGATTCCCTGCCATGGAGATGACAATTGCGGAGGAGGATGCACCAAGCTTATCTCCGCCGGATTCCTACGCGGCCCTTGTTCTTGGTGGCACCTTCGATCGCTTACACGATGGCCATCGCCTCTTCCTCCAGGTTCTTTCAACCCCCCTGCGCTGCGCTTCTGTCAATTTTCCAGTTTCTTTCTTCTTCTTCCGATTACTGCAATGAATATGTATTTGCAGGCGGCCGCTAAATTGACCAGGGAGCGAGTTGTTGTCGGCTTTTGCAGCGGTCCAATGTTGGCTAAGAAACAGGCACTTTCTTTATTTTCACTCTCTATCCCTTCTCCCCCTTTATTACCTTCTTATCTTAAACCCTAATTTAAGAGCTTATTTTAGAAAATAAATGGTGGGTTTCCCGATTGACAGTAGAAAATTAAAGCTTTGAAAAGTACCCTGGTAGTTTCAAAGAAGCTATAAAATGGCAGCTTCTCCAAAACAGTGTCTGCGGTCTAATTAAGCTGGAATCAGTTTTCACTGTTTGTGAAATATCTCCAGATTTGAATTCCAAAATATCTGTTTCCAAACTTAAAGTTCTCAATGGTGAACATCCCCAATGTGTAGTTTTAACTTTTCAGCTTATAACTATAAGTTTCAGTTTTCATCTAGCTTTTGAGCTTGATATGCCAAACTGAGTCGCAAATTGTTGTTGGTATAGGAAGATGCATGAAAGGCTCTTCACTGGTTCTCATTAAAACATGAAGTAGATACACAAAATTATTTGATACACTCTAGGTGGAAACCCAAAGATAAACAATTACAAAAAAAACACCTCTGCACATTCTTTAATGGTTGCCTCATTTTCAGTGTTTCTTGGATTCTAGAAGACTTTTACTCACTCTTTCCTATTAGTACTATTTATTGCAAATTTCACTCTTCGAATTTGTAAAGTAGGAATGACTTTGAGTCAAAGATATTGCTAGATTCAACCAGATATGGAATGAGAAACACTTTATGACATGCCGAAATAGAAACATAAGACAAACATGTCAGGTTGTGGAGCCTGATGTAATATTTGATGCCCCAAGATCTTCACAAAAATAAGCAATATTTAATGCTAAGATCGCAACGGCAATGACATGGTGCCTTCCTCTTTTCATATTTCTTCTTTTTCAGTACGCTGATCTAATAGAGCCTATCGAGCAAAGAATGGCAAATGTGAAGAATTACATCCAGTCTATCAAGCCACATCTGGATGTACAAGTAGAACCAATTGTGGATCCTTATGGCCCTTCAATAGTTGATGAGTATTTAGAGGCCATTCTTGTCAGGTTCCGTTTTTACCTTCATTATCTCTCTATGCGGTTTTAAAGATATTTTCATCTTTTTATTATTTACACCCTCATTTCACCATCTTTTGTGATCTTCACCTAAGAAAAAAATTATAGTCATGTGTTATCTTGTTAGCTTTCTCGATATAAACTTTCATAATATCAACTGTTTTTCTATTTATCAAACATAAGTGAAGACATTAATGATTGTTTGTGCATTGGCAAACATATGAAATCTCAAGTGTTGCATTTTCAATTCTCTTGGTGTGTGTATTCCTATTTGTCTCTACCACATATGCATCAATTCTTTTGAAGATATAGAGAAGACTTCATCCCTGCCGTTTACCTATGTTTTTTCTTTGCTATGTTTTATTTTACCCTTAGCAAAAGGTTTGAACCAATATCAAAAATAAATTCATTAGTTTTAAATCATCCCCATTTTCCTCTCTAAGTTTATGTTACCTGTGTAAATTAGCAAGGAGACGCTACCCGGCGGAATTTCTGTCAACAAGAAGCGAGCTGAGAAGGGCCTCTCCCAACTAAAGGTTTGTTTTATTTTTCGTTCATTAATGATAAACTAATTGGAGACATTTGAACTTGTTACATGGTCTCATTCATTAGTGTCTGTCCGTATGCAGATTGAGGTTGTAGAACTGGTCTCTGAAGGATCGAGTGGAGACAAACTGAGTTCTTCAGCTCTGAGAAAGCTTGAAGCTCAAAAACAGTGTTAAAGGTGGTGTTTGTGTGCTCTTTCTTGCTTTTTCCAAGCTTACATTTTATCTTAATGGCGGAGAAAATTTGAGTTCGCCGCCCCCTATTGAAAGGTTTCATAAGATTTTTGTACTTTTCTGTGAATAAAAGATATGGTGAAATGTATATAACATTATATATGACCCATTTGGTGGGATGGATATGTTTGGTTGAAACGACTTGACAATATGAAGTTAGTTTTTTTTTTTTATTCTGAAAATTATAATTTTAATTCATTTCACCAAATGGATAAATAAATTTATTCATCTCATATTGTAATATAGATGGATAAGTTAATTTATCCATCTCATAAAGGAGTTATGTTATCGTGATCCTAAAAGTCCATATTGAAATCTGGATGTTCTCATATACTCCATACGTTTTATTGGCTCATAATTCGATTTCTTTTTTTCTAGAAGGCCCAATATATGACTATTTTATTTATTAAAGCTCATATAAAGAACATGAACCTAAAGACTACAAAAGAACTTACCCTCATCGTAATCATAAAAAGTCTTGTTTCTCAATATATTTTTGTTCCAAAAACATAGATATGAAAAAAGATGTTTATTTCCATGATATCCAATTTTCGAATGAAAAAGTATCTCAAACAAGTGAAATGTGTTAGTTCTAGCTATACCAACAAATAAATTTAAAAAATATTAGTGGTACATGCAAGAGAGCCTTACTAGGGTCTAGGTATTAACTAAATTTAACATGCAATTTGTTTTACGGAGTACAATTTACAAAAATGGTACTCCGTAGTATAAAATCATAGTGTGTGTATATATTCACAATGTCATATTAAAAATGCATGTTTCACAAAAAAGCATTTTAAATTTTAATAAGGCGCAATCATTAAAAATAATATTATGTATTATGTTTATGAATACGTTTTAATCAAGTTTAACTAGAATCCCACTTGTGAAAAATATTGGGTTGTTATCAAGTAAATTTAACACCCTCAATTTGTATGACATATTTTCTGTATAAAAATACGGAGTATTAAATATTTTTTTGAGCACCATAAATATTAAATTTGATGAAAAATGAAACTCATTGGTGCAAGTGCGACTCTTTTTTGAAAGAATAATAAATTTTTTAGGGAGAAAGAATGATAACTTTTCAAACAAGAGTAATAAATAACGAAATTAAAAATCAAAAAACCTGAAAAAAGCAGCATTTACAAGAGTAACTAACTATAAAACGGCTATGATTTTCAAATATTTGAAACTGAAAGCTTCTAACCCTCATCAATCCCTTCATATTCTCTACCATTTATAAAGTCATTTTATTTTCCAAGATAATAATCATTGGTTCATAGCGTCAAGTAGAAATCTGCACAGCGCCGTTTCCTTCTCAAATTTCTTGGATTTCAGTAAGTTCTATTGGTTTCTTGAAATCCAGTGTTTTCTGTGTAATTCGTCTCTAAATCTTGAAAGGGGAAAAGGGTATGAATTATCAAGGCATTTTATCATCATTTGTTTAAAAAAAATAGATTTTTTTGAACTTTGATTTATTGTTTCAGGTTTTTCATCATCATCATCTTCATCATCAAGAAACACTCCCACGACTGAAAATGAACGATCTGATGACCAAATCGTTCTTGAGTTACGTGGAACTGAAAAAGCAAGCCCAGATGGACGATGAACCTGAGGATAAAGACATAGAATTAGGCCATCTGAGCAATGAAGATTCAAATAACCTCTCCCATTTCTTCCAGCAAGTTGAAGAGATCCAGACCGACATAGAAGGGATCAGAGATCTCTTCTCCGACCTTCAATCCCTAAACGAGGAGACAAAAACGACCCACAGCGCCAAAGTTTACCGCGGATTAAGGGACCGTATGGACTCGAACATGGTGACCGTCCTTCGCAAGGCCAAAACGGTCAAAACCAAACTCTGGGCACTCGACCAATCGAATTCGGCTCACCCAAATGGAACCACAGTTGACCGAATCCGTGTTTCCACCACCCACGGGCTGAGAGTCAAGCTGAAGGACATCATGAATGATTTTCTTGCGCTGAGACAGAAGATCGTCTTGGGTTACAAAGATGACCTGAGGAGAAGGTACTATAATGCCACAGGAGAGGTTCCAAATGAAGAAGTGATAGAGAAGATGGTTTTGGGGAGAGAAGATGTTCAGATCTTTGACACAAAGGTGGAGATGAAAGAGGAGAGCAGAGAGCGGCATGAGGGTGTGATGGAGATTCAGAGGAGTCTGGACAAGCTTCATCAGGTGTTCCTTGACCTGGCTGTCATGGTGGAGGCGCAGGGAGCACAGATTGACAATATAGAGTGCAATGTCGCCAATGCCGGAAGCTTTATCAGCGGTGGGACCCACAACCTTTTCTACGCAAAGCAGATGAAGCGCAGGGGGAAGAAGTGGGTGTGTTGGGTTTTCTCTGTGTTGGTTATCGTCTTACTGGTCTGCCTCATTAGCTTGCTAACTTCTTGAGAAGAACACTTGAAAGGAGAAAAATGTCAAGATTCTTGGCAATAAAAGTTCACAGATATCTTCTTTCTTTCTTTTCTTTTTTTGTACGAGTTTTAGAATGTGTTACACTTGAAAAGCATTGTGCCACTTAAAAATTCTGAATAGTTATATAAGAGTTTGTTTTGAAAAAAGCCAGAGAAAAAAGACAACCTTTATCAAATGAAGCAGAAGAGCTAAAGACTGCATATCTTCTTCAAGGAAGACTTAAATGTTGAACGGCAGTCCAGCTTTGGTTCGGCTCTAACTCTACTTCTCCAATCTGAGGTGTCCCAAAAATTCAAAAAAACACAGAAGATCTCACATTAGAAATAATAATGATAATGATCATTATAATTATTCATCAAGTATTGTTTCTCAGGTATGCACCTTTGCATTTTCAACACAGACAAAATCTTTGTAACATGCTTCCATCGTTAGGTGTGGGTTCCACAAAACAGTATCCGACCAACTGCACGAATAAACAAAATGAGGTTAATAGAAATGAAATTGCAAAGTTCAACGAATGAAATAATGTAAATTCTACTCTTCTATAAGAGCAGATGCTTGCTTTCACTTACTTAGTATTCTTGATGATGACTGTATCACCCAAACCATTGTCCAGTTGTAGCTCATTAGGAGTGCCGAGATAAATGCAATCTACAAAGCCCGGGAAGGTAACGAATTCCCTAGAATCACAAAATATAAAATTTAGCTTTTGTTTTTTGTTTTTTGTTTTTTGGGGGGTTTTGAGAAATTGATACTAACCTTTCCTCCTGACCTGCCAGTGGATTTCTAGGATCAGGGTGTTTGTTTAGCGTTTTACAACCCTTTAAGCCCCTAACTGATGCACTCTCAATGGAACCCTGCACAAGAGGAGGTTTGAACTTTCAGAAACTTTGCAGATGGTTTGTTTGGCTTCTGGTAATTGTTGATTGGCCATAAAGATGTTTGCTTACACGAAAGTAACTGTGCAATGCAGTGGTGAAAGAGAATGGCTTCTGGTCTGTATTTGTAACTCTCAGTTCTGTAGACAGCGCTTTCTCAGACAGCGTGACCTGAGGATGATTTTTTTTTCACTTTTGCATTGCTAAAAATTCAAAGTTGTGAAGCATGATGGGGGCCAGGGTTACGAACCTTGTACAAAGCTTGGAAACTAAAATCCCACATAGAACGACTATATGGGGCGTCATTCAGCTCTACAGTAATGACTGGATTTCCTTGGGTGTTTTCGGCAGAGACAAATGACCAGTTCATATTCCTTGCAAATCCATGCTATAAGTGGTACACTCAGAGTTGGAAACTATTGCATTATTAGTAGAAACATATAGTGGCAATTGATTTTTACCTGCTGAATTTGGCCAGGTCCAAACTGTGGAAAACAATGTGGTATTCCCCCACTGTGCCAATGGAAAACTGTCAGAAAACTTCTTAGGTCCCTATGGATCTAATTCAAGCATTCAAAAATAGACAACCCAGAGGACCTATGGCACTACAAGAAGCTATTATTAAAGATATATTTGCCAAGAAATCGCCAAAATATGACTCTGAGGTTATTGGACAAAGTTTTTTACAAGTGAGATTTGAATATTACAAGTGAGATTTTAGCACCTGATTGGTTTTTTTCCATCGAACGCAGCATCTGGCCGAACAAAAAGAAGATCTTTTTCGCCCACTTTCCACGATGTAACACAAGCGCCAAACAAATAGAGCTCAGCCTCACTGCAATGTTTCAAGAATCAGACAACCCATTAAAGGTTACACATTTCCTTTTCAATACACCTCAAATTCTTTTTTGTTATGTCCCAAAATAATGTTCTACTTCCCCTTTGTTTCACATTATTTTTCTCAGTCTTCTACATAAGTGTCAACCACACAATTGTAGCTTTCTTAATAACACAAACACATTTCAGCTTTTGATACTATTCTACAATTCAAACACATTAAGTGTTCTCGAAACGAAGTTCATTTCGGAATATGGTCATGTGGCAACACTACAGTTAAGATGATCCAAATTCCAAATTACAAGAGAATAAAGAAAATGCAAAATCCAAGTGTTGATGAATGATACCTAATGAGGATTAAGCAAGAACAACAGCTTAGTTATATTCGAATTGTTAAGAAATACCAATGTAGAGATCGAGTACCTTCCATGAGAAGAAGTCAAAACAATCTTAGGCAAATTCCCGAGCCCTTCAGTAACCTTGACTCCCAGACAAGGATTCGCCTTGTTCACGCTTGCAGATGCCATTGTAGAATAACAAAACCTGTCACGCGCAGAGCAATTTCTCACAAAGATTGCATTTTTCGTGTCTGGGTTCTTTATTTTGACATTACAATTAACTAATTTTAACAATTAAGAACCGATTAATGCAGAGAGAGAGAGAGAGAGAGAGAGAGAGAGAGAGGCACACCGCTTGAGTCGCCGAGGATTTGGGGGTGTTAGAGAAGAAGCAGACCACGTCACAGGCATGGAGATTATCGCCATCTTCCACCTTTACCTGTGTGCTGAATTTGCAAAGATTGGTTGTTTGGCCTTTTTTTTCACCACCGTCATTTGATCAATTAAAAAAAATAAAATAAAATGTTTTTGTTCTTATTTTGTAAAATTGTTTATATACTTTTGAACAACAATGTAATTTATACTTTTTGTTTCTATACCAATTTGTAATTAAAACTGACTTTGAAAGTATTGAAATTTTACACATTTTACGAAGAGTGATAACCATTGTGGAATAAAATAAATATTAAAAATGGGTACTTTCGTGATCCTAAGGCTCACATGTGACCTTCACACACTTTTACAAAAAAATAATGCAATAAACTCTATAAAATAAGCATAGATCTTAGAATGAGAATTGTCATAGCTTAGCTAAGATTAATAAAACATTGATACAAAGTAATTCATTAGTACTATTATGTACTACCTCCGTCTCTGATAATTGTTCAATTTTGATTTTTTTCAGTTAACTATTTTTAATCTTTGAGCCATAATTAATTAAATAAAATATATATTGTATATTAATTACATAAATTATTATTTTGAAAATATTTCATATAATAAATTTTTAATATAACTATTTTGTATCAATATCTAATATCATTTTTTATTTAATTTGAAGTTAAATTTTACCAATTTTGACTGAACAAAATCAAAACAAGATAAATACTCAGAGACATAAGAAGTACGGAGTAACAAGCATGTGCTAATGGCCACTTAACTAGATGTTTTTAAACTAAATGTTGAACTAATAAAGTGAGATGTATTCAGCTAAAATTGGACTAATTAAAATGAGTTGAAGTGACCATCAAACACTAAACAAGTAGTGGAGTAAAAAAACAACAAACTCAAACAAAAAGGAGTAGGTAGAAAAATGCTCCAAGGAAAAATCCAAGGAATGGGACACATTATTCATAAAAAGAATAAATGAGAACCTTCTTGAATCTTAGCTTGATTGTTTTTTAGCATCACACTCTATATGTTATTAGACTATGTTACTCTTATTTTAGTATTAACTGATTTTTTAAAAAAAAAAAACAACTTGAGCATATGGTTTCAGTTTTGCTTCCCGGCCAGTTTCGTTTTATTTATTTTTTCTATATTTTGCAAGTAGAATTATATTTTTTGTTTAATCAATATCTAATCAAACTTTTTTTGGTAATTAAGTATTTTTTTCTTAGAAAATATTAAACGGTTCATAACTGAAATTGGAACCACTAAGAGCATCTCCAACCATGTTTGCTATATTAAATTGTTATTGTTAAATTTTAGCTAGTGAATAATAATATAGCAAGTACTACGTAGTTTTTTCCTCCATTCTCCAACCATGCTTGCTAAATTTTAACCAAGAATGGATTTTTCTAGTGCCTCTCTATATTCTCATGATGAGATTACCTTTTTGGACCTTTGATTTAATTTTTTATTAATTTTTTTTGGCTTGCTATTATTTGGGTGGCTTGCTATGTTTAGCAAGTCAATTTTACTTTTTGACTAACCACTCCTTGGAGATGGAAAACATAGGCTCACTTGCTATTATATAAGTTTTAGCAAGCTATATTGATAAGGTTGGAGATGCTCTTGAAAGCACTTTGTAACTATGTTGATTTCAAAAAATTCCTGTTTGTCTATTTCATTACGAAAAACAGCCGATTTTAGGATCGAAACTTGACCAAAAGGGCCATAGTTGAGTAAGTAGGTACATACGTACATATATACTCTAACAAAATGATACAGCTATGGTGGCATGTGCTTAATGCTTTCCTTCCTCTTTGGGGTCATCTCAAAAAACTAAAAACCATATACTCCGTATATAATTAAGGAGTGATATTGACACTCCAAATATTACTATATGCACTCCAATCTTTATCTTATTTATATTTTCTTCCTAAAATGCCCTTGCATGTTTAATACTTCGTTGTTTTTACCTAAGAATATTATATTACCTACTTCATTGTTTAATTATTTAACTTTTATTGATTCTATGTGTTAACAAAAAATAACATTTCCAGCATAAATTAATTTATTCTCTTATTTTACGGAGATTAAAAAACACTGAAGAGATGTATAAAAAAGGTTGAATAGTAAAAGAGAGTTGTTAGGTTTCATTTTGAAAAATGAGAAAAATGTCAAACCACATATTCTTTTGTATAAACAAATTGAAAAAATAAAAAAAAATCATTTTGTGACAAACAAAAAAAAGAGAAAACTCTTATGAAATAGGGTATATAAAATAAGTAATAACGATATGATCTAAAACCAATTTTAATGACACAAATTTCACTAGTCAATTTTTTTTTAATCTTTTTCTTAATCTCAGTAAAGTCAATGTGAGAAAAGTAATTTGGGAAATGTAGAATGAAAAGTAATTAGAATTGTAACATTTTTTCAATTGTGGAGTGGTAATATATTTTCCTTCAACATACAATTTAAAATCTTTCCATACTACATAGGCTCCAAATTAGTTTTTTTTCACTTTACTTTCAATGATATATATTACAAAAAATATTTTTAAAAAATGTTAAGAGAAATGTAAGTTGTTAGAATTTGGTTAGATGAAAGAATCACTTTAGAGTACTATATAATCCTCACCTTTCTCACTTTAAATAAATCCTAAAATAATGCATGCACTTTTCTCCCTTTTTAGAAAATAAAATGTAGTTTAAAATATTTTTCTTTCTTATAAAACATCCAACTATTCATTGTCACTATTCAAAAAATTTTCAATATATTTTTAAAATCTCTGTAAATTCAAAGAGACCAAATGAACTTGAAACAAATGGCTAATTTCTTTCAAAAAACAATTGAAAAAAATGATAAAAGTATTGATGGAGATGAAAACAAAATAAAGAGTTTTAGGATACGGAGATTTTTTATAATTAATTAATTAATTAATTAAAAAAATAAAGTAATACTCCATATAATTTTTCTAACTATGAAGAATAGAATATTGTGCACAAGGGCATTTTCGAGAGAAAAAAAATAAGTGGAGTGCATCTAGTAATTATTGGAGTGCCAATATCAATTGCCATATAATTATACTCCCTCCGTCCCCAATTTGATTACAAATTGCGGGTTACGGAGTAAAATTTTTTACTTTTTGAAATCATTTTATTTACAAATTGGTATATCAATAAGATATAAAAATTACATATTAAAAAACTACGTCAAAAGTTCTACAAAACAAGAGGTGACAAGAATATTTTATTTTATCAAATACTTAACGAAATCGCGTAAACAAACAAAAGTTATCGAGAGGAGAGAAAAAAAAATTGCAATCTATTTAGGGACGGAAGGAGTATATGAATGTGTGTATTAGTCACTGCACACCACATTCATAGAGGCACTCAATCCAGCAAATACCACACTTCTTTTGGATTAAAACTCAAGCAGAGTTACGCTCTTTTAATTTTATATTAACTGTCTATTAAGACATTCTTGTTACATTGAAAACAAATGAACGGAGACATTAAATGTATCTACATTTATTCACTTTTCAATATATCAAGAATATTTTATTGGACAGTTAATATGAAATGAATAAAGTACTAGAGAGATAGACACAAAATTTAATGCCAATTTCACATACACCAAACTTTTCACATACATATATTGACAACGTTTATTCGGACATATAGACAATCTTTATCTGTGTGTATATGCGAAAATTTTGATGGGTATTTGGTGTTAAATTCTTGATGTCCACCAAATATTTTTGAAAAAAAAAAAATAGGATAAGAGATCACACCTGCATTATTGCACTTAATTACAAAGGCCACTATCTCAGGATTTCCCGTGTGGAAGCAGATATTGTACACGTGGATGGTGTATAATTATTTTTCATATACGGAGTACTGTATTATAATTCATTTTGATTAAAAATAATTACTCTTTGTATATGTTTGCTTTTAATTTTTTCGGTCGAAATTTGTAAATTTTAACTTTAAATTCAATAAAAATGATACTCCGTATTAGATATTCATATTGATGGTGTTAATTGTTTGGACCGATTTAATCATTTTTAATGTGTCAAAATGATAAACGAGGCTAACAATCACCAAATATATGAACAAACTATTTTTGACGTGGAAATCCAAATCGAGAGAAAATCACACGCCATTTCTGGCGGTATCATGCCAAGGGGAAGATTTTATTAATATCGGGGTTAAAACATAGTAGTAGAACATAATCTTAGCATTATAGTCATTGATGGAGCGTTTTAGCTCTATAAAGAATACTCCCTCCGTCCCTTTGTCCACTTTCATTTTTGCACACCATCCAATGCACTTCTTTATTCGATTTTATCTTGTAATTTGTATATTAAAAAATTATAGAAATTATATATTAATAATCTATATGTTAAGACGAATCAAACAAGATCACACATGACTATTTTTAGGCTTACACATTGAGAGAATTTGATGAGTCAAAGTGCTTAGATGAACAGTTCCAAAAGTCAAAAGTGGACAAATACTCAGAGACGGACCAAGTAAAAAATACAAGGAGTATTCTCTAAGTAATGTGAGAGTAAAATTACATGATAGTGTAGGAGATCAGAACATATGCATATTGGTTTCCCTATAGTGAAGGTGAAGGATTCCTTTTATTGTAAGAGATAATGAAGTACGTGTGGAGATAAATATGGTAGGAGAGTGAATGGTGAGAGTAATTATGGTAGGGAGTAATGAGTTGAAATAGTTATGGTAAGGAGAGAATGGTGGATGTAATTAAAGAAAGTGAGTTGACTATGATGATAGTTGTGGTAGGATGAGTAATTTGTGGCAATGGTAATTATGGTAACATTACTTGGGAAATTTGGACTGAGATGTCCCGGCTAAATAATATTTCTCATATATAAAAATAGTTTTGTTAGATTTATTATATCAAATATTTTTAAAATATTATTTTACCTAATTAATAAATATTTTATTTAATTATAGGCCAAATATTAAAAAAACTGATCGAAAAAAAGTCAAAACTGGACAAATAATATTTTTCACCGAGCAAGATGTTGTTATGAAAATGTAGATAGAATTAGCATTTAGTTTAAGGCCCCTCTTTAGGAATAATAAAAAAAGATTAAAAATAAGAAAAACATTTAATATATATTAAAAAAATAAGAATTTCATTTTTTTATTTACAAAATATGAGTTACTCCGTAAAATGTATTTACAATGCCAATCATGATAATATATATTACCAATAAATATTTTTGAAATATTAATACACAATGTCACATTAGCACAATGCAAATTTTTATTTTGAAGATAAAAACATCAAACTTCTATTTTGGTGATTTCTCTATGTTTTACTACTATTTAAGATGATTTCTCTACAGATTATATATACATTTACATTATGTTTGGTTTAAGAAATCTAGAAAAAATGAAAAGAAAGTGGAATTTTCTCATTTTTCTCACGAAAACGAGATGCATTTAATCTTTCATCTTATTAATACATTATACGTAGTATTTTAGAAGCTGTTAACTTCCCAATCCATATTACTAGTAAAACCTAACGTGTTAATTGTCGTTTGCTAACGTACTGTTATATGTTCTCTCGTGAGTGTTTTTTGCCAACGTTTTTAAACTCAAAATTATTTAGTACTCCCTAGATGATAGACTAAAAAACTTTTATTAAGCTTAGAACTACACATTTAACCTTTTGATTAAATTTGTTTCTTGACAGGGTACTAAAAAAAACTAATCGCCCAATTTTCTTATCAAGTTGTTACAAGTTTAAATTTTACAATTACTCAATCTTAAAAATACTAATGTGCACGTGACGAAACGTGTTAGAGTATAAAACATTTCGTGAATCTATTAACACAAGTTTGAACTATTAGTTGAATCAGTTCGTTGACATAGCATCGTGCACCTATAATATTCACGTGCAAGGCTCTTTGAGATTTTGGTTGAATCAATTTCTAGCTTGACAATAGGCAACCACAAAATTTGCATGCACGTGAGAGGGCGTACGTGCTAGTATATACTGGGGTAAAACTTAAATTCCTACGATTCTAGTCAACAAATGAAAACAAAGTAGAACCCCTTGTCTTGGGTTCGGTATGTAGAGGAAACAAATTGTTAGATATATATCAGACAACAGAATTTTTGTTACAACTAATCTCACTATACAAAATATAAGAAATTGAATAAGAGGCTCCAACATTCTAATCCTCATCTTCTAGGTTTCCATCAAGGCTCAACCAATGTTTTTTTTGGAGGAATTTACCTAAATAACACTAAAACATAATGACTTTCCCTAAATAGCACTACATATGTTTTTTTCTGAATGTAACACTTTAAGTCATTATCCATTAGTCATTATTCGAGTAAATGTTTGTCATCACTGGTCATTATGGACATTATAAAGTGCTATTTAGGGAAGAAAATAATCTAAGTGCTATTTAGAGAAATGACTAAAGTTTTAGTGCTATTTAGTGCAAATATTTCTTTTTTTTGTTGTTTAGATGGGCTTACGCGTAAATAACACAAAGTTTAACCTCAAGCAAGTTGGAATGGACAATTAGGTGTGAAGTAAAAGGTGAAATGATTCATTCATGTTTAATGCCAGTTAAGAGGAAGGTGAGATTATTTAAGGGGTGGTGAGTTTATGTCGTCCAAATTCTCCTTATTATTACGGAGTATTATTATGTTTATATGGTCCTGCGGAGCTTCCTCCATTAGAGAGAGAGAGAGAGAGGTTACAGTATTGTTAGTGGATTAAATTGAAGCCGCACAGGTGTGGGTGGAGAAGGAGGAGGTGGAGGAGCTGCCTTTTTGGTCCAAGATCCCTTCATTTCCCTCACCGGCGGCGGCGGCGGCGGAATAGAAGGCCGGCCGCTTTGTTGGCTCAGGCAGCGATCGTTCCGGCGATGTCAAATCTCGGCCGAGGAGAATAATGCGAAGCCGGTTTGGGGTTCCACCGGAGAGCTAGCACGGTCTGTATTGGCCGTCTTTCTCCGATCTGACTCTTTTCTTCTGCGATCTCTGGCGGTTTCTGACCGATCTCCTCCTTTTCCGAGGTTCACCGTCTTCATCCTTCTCTCTCCTCAATTAATTTCGCATTTTACCATTAAAGTTGTTTTTTTTAATCTAATATGCAAAATTAGTTTTTCCCCAACTCATCTTATCTTCCATTTGCTCATTAAGCTAGGTTTCTCTTCAAGAATAGATCAATTGCTCAAATTCGAACAGCTTAATGTCATACTTGCCTGATTTAGATAAAAGATCTGATTTTTAGCAGTTCTAGTGAAAATGAATGAGTATTAACTTCGAAACTTCATCATCAGATCTACCCCTCCAAAGTCCCAAAAATATGATGTGAACCCTGTCAAAAGTGAGAGGAGCTCTGGTTTTTTTTGGGAACTCTCAAACTGATACTCTGTAATGTACAGTACTGAAGGATTTGTTTAAGCTTCTGATTTATTTTTCATTCCCTGCCCAAATGGTTAAAGAAAAGGATTGATTTTGATATGACCAGACACCATGTCGTTCAAGAACATTGTACGAGAACTAAAGGAGATGAAGGACGGGATTGGGAGCAGATCGAGGAGAGGATTGGAAGGGAGGCATTGGCGAAGCAGGACGCGGTCATATATAGCGCCTGATGTGCCGCCTTCTTCTGATGATCCGGTCGAGCAGGGCCAGTGGGCAAACTTACCACCCGAATTGCTTTTGGATATAATTCGGAGGGTTGAAGAGAGCGAGAGTTCATGGCCTGCCCGTACTGTGCTCGTCTCTTGTGCTTCTGTTTGTAAGTCATGGAGAGGAATCACTAAGGATATTGTCAAGACTCCAGAGGAGTGTGGAAAGCTCACCTTTCCCATTTCGCTCAAGCAGGTAGATCTGATTAAGGCCTTGTTTGGGAATAACATTTTTCGAAGAAGAATTTTGGATGATTAAAAATGGTTCGAACTTTCAAATTAATTTTGAAAACGATGGCATTAGATAACCTTTTTTAAAACGTTAAAGCTTAACACTGAAGCGGTTGTCAAACGACTGTATTGAGCATCCATCTAGTAGCATTTGACTTATTTTGCTGAATCTGATGTGCATACACTTTCCCTTTCATAGGGTTATAAGAGATTCATTCATTTCAGTCAAATGACCATTGTTAAACAGGCACTGATGCTTGTTCATTTTATTATCTTGAAACAGCCCGGGCCTCGCGAATCCCCTATTCAATGCTTTATCAAAAGAGACAGAGCTTCTTCAATTTATCGCCTCTACTTCGGCCTGACTCCATGTAAGTTGTGCTCTAGGTTGAAATCTCTATTTTTCTAACTCTCCGCATTTGAATCATTTGTTATGTGTAATTGGGTCTAACTCACTCCAAAAGTATATTCAATAAGTTTTAACTCACATTTATATACTCACACCAAGTAAAGCACAGCTAAGTCGTACTCTGCCGTTAACTTAAAAACAGTTTCTCTCAGGGTACTATGTGATTAAAACGATGTTTTCTTGAATGTATCATGTATGCAATTCATGACTGGTATTATGAAGTTTTTTGATAGGAATAGGAAGGTGTTCAATGATAATTGAAACTTGTAAAATCACTGTAAGATATACTGCTAACAATATCTGATGTCTCTTGACAGCTGAGGATGCAAGTGATAAGTTACTCCTGGCAGCCAAAAAGGTCAGAAGAACAATGACTACGGACTTTATCATATCTTTGGTTGGCGACGAATTTTCACGAGCCAGCAATACATATGTTGGGAAACTGAGGTAATTTTCATATATTCTACTGCTCCTATTCAAATGCTCTAGCCATAATTTTATGGTCTTGTTTGGGAACAACGTTTTTCATTAGCGTTGGTGTTTTGAATAATTTTTTAATGGTGCAGATTAGCTTTGAAAATGATAAAACTAAATGATGTCATTAGATAGGCTTTTCAAAACGTCAGAGCTAAACGTTGAAGTTTTTGCCAAACGGACCTTTTGTTATTAGTTCCGAATAACTGATATAAGATTGCTAATTTGAGCAGGTCTAACTTTCTTGGCACCAAGTTTACGGTTTACGACACCGAACCCACGATTGATTCTGCAGTTCAGCTCAATCAGCTTAGCCGAAGATTCCACGCCAAACGAGTATCTCCAAGAATATCTGCTTGTAATTACAGCATTGCCACTGTATCCTACGAGCTAAATGTCCTGCGCACCAGAGGGCCAAGGCGGATGCATTGCGTCATGCACACTATTCCTGTTTCCTCCATCCTGGAAGGTGGCACTGCTCCCACACCACCATCCCCATTGGACCCACCATCCCTCACCACTAAAGTTAACAAGGAGCAGGAAAACCCGGACTCGTCTAGCTCCATCGGACACTCAGATTCGCCAGCAGTGACCGAACCGCCTCCTTGGGACCCACTCATTCTTAAAAACAAGTCGCCAAGGTGGCACGAACAGCTGCAGTGCTGGTGCCTGAATTTCAAAGGCCGCGTCACGGTGGCTTCGGTGAAGAACTTCCAGCTGGTGGCGGCTGTGGACCCATCCCACAACGTGTCGGCAGCAGAACAAGAGAAGGTGATCCTGCAATTTGGGAAGATTGGGAAAGATATATTCACCATGGATTACAGGTACCCACTCTCTGCTTTCCAGGCCTTTGCAATCTGCTTGAGCAGCTTTGACACTAAGCCCGCTTGTGAATGAATGATGTATTTTAGGTGTATTTGTAAATGTTCATGGACTACATGTCTACATCTTGTGTGTTCTTTTTTCGTGTTGTTGGTTTCACAACGTTGCTGACTCATGCTTACCATATATATTTGGAAAATGCTAGCGTCACAAACATATAGTTCACAAATTTCACAAACTTGCTTTTTGTGGATTTTAAATTAAAATATCTTTTATTATTTGAGTGTATCTTATTTCTAGGAAAGTGTTAAAAATGCAAATTTGTGAATTTTGTGAACTGTTTGAGTGGAAGTTGACATGGCATGGCAAGGCAAGACATTGCCTTGCCCATTGTCAGTCCAAAAGGTGGAATCACCCACCCCAGGCGCCCCCACCCCCTTGCCCGACAGGAATGGTGGAGGAAGTAAATCATGGTGACTCAGTCGGCCAAGAACGCTAGACCCGTGCCCACCGCGCACAAGGAGCCTCCTCGCCCTTTATGGGATTTTTGAATAGCTCCCACACTGCCGCTTGCGGGACTCGATCCCTGGTCATCGGTCCAAGATTTCACGCTCTTGACCAACTGAGCTGCCCATGCGGGCATTTCCTTGTCCACTGTGAATGCTCTAATAGTTAAGGTAATCTAATCCTTTTAATTAATTTTTGGAGTTGAAATGGATCAATTACACGGTATGAGTGCAACAAGTTATTGAAATTGGGGCCGCTCACATCACAGTTATTTACGCCACATGTGAACTTCCATATCGGCCTTTTAAGCATATATTGTGGTGTTTATAATAGTTATGGTATTCCAACCATTTGAGTTAACTTTTATTGTTGAATTAGACCCAGTTTGTTGTACAATAGTATTTCACACCATATATTCAGTTTTTACATTGTACTCCCTATTGATATAAGGATATTATTATTACTTCACACTACCTCTGTCCCAATCTAAATCTTTTGTTCCGGATTACGATATTTGGTTTGAGTTATTTTCAAGACAATTTATTTGAAAACAGGGGAGGTACTACAAAATAAAATTTACATATTTAAAAATTACATCAAAAGCTCTATAAAACAGATGATGGCGTGATTGTATTATTTTATCAAATGACTAATGAAAATAATGAAAAAAAGTGAATCAAATTTGATAATTTAAATAGTAAATAGAAAATTTAATTTGAGGCAGAAAGTATTACGTTCTGAATGTATAAGTTGAAAGTTATATCACATCAACATGCACTTCATGGTGTTAGGAGTAAACCATAAAGCTAATCACAATTTCATAAAGCTAACCACAATTTCAAATAGGGAGTTAGGGAGTATACCTCTCCTAATTTTATGCTAAAAATCAAGTGGTGCATGTGAATCCATTTTTATCAAAAATCTTCTTATCTTTGCTAGTGGCCCAAAGGTGATTAGCAAAGAGAACTTTATTCAACATGTTGGGTTGTTCAACTACTATTTATTTATTTCTGTTTTAAGTACTCTCTAGAAGAAAGTTTTTAAAGGCATGTTTCACTCTTATTTTTTAGTGTTATTAACTCTATTACAATGTAATATCTATTCATATTTTCTCAATCTAATGAAGCACACATTGACGATTGACCAATCCAGGTAAGCTTTCTCATAAATTTGGAGAGTGGACTTCTTGTCACTCAAGTCAAAAGTGAAACTCACTTTATTGTTTATGATGATTTATCTCAATAATTGTACTCCCTCCGTCTCAACTTAAGTTGCTCATTTTGGTTTACGATATTTGACTGAAGCTATTGTGAAGATAATTTATTTGAGAATTGGGATGAAATTAAAAAAATAAATTTGTATATTTAAAAAACTTATCATAAGCTCGACAAACTAAGAGGTAATATGACTATTATTTTATCAAATGACTAATGAAATAAACAAAGGAATTATATAAAGTTTAATTTTGTAAATAATAAATAGACAACTTAATTTATGATGAAAGGAATATGAGTTTACTAAGTATTGAATTAAAAAATATTGTGAATTGTAAAAAGGATACACCTAAAGAGCATGATGATTGTTGTTAATTGTGAAGTTCAAATTAGTTTTACGATGGGGTTATATTGAAATTCACTTTGGATGTCATGGTATCACATATGTATCCTACAATTTGCAAAAAAAAAAAGGAAAAGAAAAAAAATGATAGTTTCTACTCACAAAATTCCTAGCTCGCCCTGTCTCAAACACCTAGCACCTCTTCCAATTACATAGAGTAAATTTTTTTGACCCCCAAAGTCAACAAAATTTGCGGGGTACAAACATGTATCTTGGAAATCGAATCGGACCAACCGGTCCAACCGACTCATACACACTAACTACATTTTTTTTTATTTTTTTCAATCATTTTAATCAACTAAATATGAAGGTTAAAATGTCAATTGTATAGGAATACATTATCTAGTCTTTAGTTTTTTAAAATGAAAATATGAGTCGCCTTATTATTTAATAATAAAAATAATAGAATAAAAAGTAGGTGTGAAATAGCAAACGCACAATGATTCTTTTATTGTCTAAAAATATCTAATATTTAATATAATATAATATTATTAAAAACAACGTTGACTGAGTCGATTACTCCCGGTTTGACTGGTTCAACCGATCAACCTTTGACCCACTACTCTAACAATTTTAATAGAATATTACATATAGTATTTTTGAAAATATGAAATCTATCTTTATTATATTAATCTTATTAATTAATTATGAAATATATTTGATTGACTTCATATAGAGTAATTAATTATTAATGAAGGGTGTTTAAAGGTGGGGATAATATTTTAAAAAAAGTCATGCTCAATCAAAATTGAATGACCCTCTCAAAAAAATAAAATACTCCGGTAAAAAATTGAATGACCTAATTTATGGAACTTTGGTTAGTATTCTAACCCATGGATGAACAATTTTTTTTTCCAATTAAAAGTCTGGTAGTTCATGTCTAGCTCGAACTTTTGGTTATAAATAAGCAAATTTGTTTTTAAAAATCAAAGGAAAAAAAGTTAAAGTAAAAGTAAAATATTGAAAATATACCTGATGGATACACTGGATAGGAGGTATCCGGTCTTTGTACAATATTAGTCGAGGCGGTCCAGTCTGTTGGACAAGTCCGTTAGCCGTATATTAATTACTTATTTTAGCGGCGGCCCAATCTGTTGGGCCGGCCCATTAATTTGTATATGGGCTCAAACCCTAACCCTAGCTCCCCTTATTTATACCCTCTTTTTGGAAGAGGAAAGGGGGAGGAAGGAGACTACACTATTCATCATCTTCTCTACTCAATTCATACATTTCCTCTTTTTCCTCTACCCATGGATTCACTAATCCATCAATACCAAAATAGAACTTGTATGTTTTTATTCCAAAAATAGGAGTTAAAATATATTTACATTACCAAACGTGGTCATGTACGTTACCAAAAAGTATAGTAATGTGCACTCACATTACATCCACATTACCATAATATGAACACTTATTTTGAGAATAAAAATATGAATAGGTACATTATTACTCCGTTTTTTATAGGACTTTTGACATTCTCACTTTTTCCCCTCTATAACAATTTCACATTTGCATGTGCTCAATTTAACTTATTTTTTCCTTGAGTTGCCATCTTTGAATTGACTCACTTTCTTTCTTCCAAGCATATGCACCACCCCGTTTTTCCCCGTTTTGTTTGTTATTTTTAAATTCTGATAAAGAGCACATGCCCCTCTTACTCAAATAAGGAATTGTTGGGATTTGAATTTATTTGTTGATCGATAAACGTGTCAAATTCACATTCGAGTACAATTTCAGAATTTCTAAACACTCATCCTATCTTTTTGAATATCAGTCATAAGTCTTTTAGGACCAAAATAAGAGTTTACATTGTCATTCTCACTGCCGATCACCAGATTGTCACTGTGAATTGCCGACAGTTGAATGATCATACTGACATATTACACTGTCTCTCACTGCCAACGCATATTCTTACACCACACTGTCATTATACTTCTATTTTGGTCTTAAAAGACTTATGACTCTTATTTTGATAATTACATACTCTCTCCGTCCTAAAATTAATTTCCCATTTTGACTTTTGCAGTCAAAGTTTTAAAACTTTGATTGCATATTATGGAAAAAATATATTGAATTTTGATATAAATTTAGTATCAATAGATTCATTTTAAAACATAGTTTTGAAATATATTATTTAGATAATATATATTCATATAAAAATGGAGATATTAATGGTCAAAGTGCCGTATTGGAGACCGTGAAAAGTCAAATGAGAAGTTAATTTTAGGACGGAGGGGAAAAAGTGAGAATGTCAAAAGTCCTGTAAAAAAGTACTCCAATACTCTATAAAAAAAGTACTCCAATACCACATAGCAGCAAGAAAAAAGATGCCCCAACCAATCCACGGGTAGTCTTGGTTCCCAAACGATGACGTCGCTATACCAGCAATAATGCATACGACTATACGAGCATCTCCAGCCCACTCGCAAGCAGGACCCTGTGCACCCGACCCACGAAACCCAAACACCACTCAACCCTGCATCCAAACCGGAGGAGTGCACTCGCGAAGATGGCAATGCCGCCTAGGAGAAAAATAAAGCAATACAAGCTCTTCGGTGTCGTAAATCAAAGGAGCGCGAGATATATACACCTAATGAGCAGCAACTTGGACCAAAAACTTCTCTCTCGCACTCTGCCCCTACTGAAATCTCCCAGTCTCGTACAACTGTCCTGTGCCTCCGAAATTAACGTGCGCATCCGATCCACTTGATCAATTATGAAATATTTACAGTAAATAGTACTAAAACTTTAGTTATTTTCTTAAATAGCACTTAACCTGTTTTATTCTCTAAGTAACACTTAAGTCATTTCGTGTAATAAAACAGGTTAAGTGCTTTTTAAGAAAATGACTTAAGTTTTAGTGTTATTTAGAGTAAATATTTCATAATGGATCAAGTGGATCGGATGCGCGCGTTATTTTGGGAGACACGGGACGGTTGTACGAGATTGGGAGATTTCATTAGGGGCAGAGTGCGAGAGAGAAGTTTTTTGTCCATGTTGCTGCTCATTGGGTGTATATATCTCGCGCTCCTTTGTTTTACAACACCGAAGAGCTTGTATTGCTTTATTTTTCTCCTAGGCGGCATTGCCATCTTCGTGAGTGCACTCCTCTGGTTTGGGTGCAGGGCTGAGTGGTGTTTAGGTTTCGCGGGTCGGGTGCACAGGGTCCCGCTTGCGAGTGGGCTGGAGATGCTCGTAGGCATTGTTGCTGGCATATCGACGTCATCGTTTGGGAACCAAGACCACCCGTGGATTGGCTGGGGCATCTTTTTTCTCGCTGCTATGTAGCTCACTCTCCAAGACCACGCGTGTCGTGCCGAGCCAGCCAGATTTGTCCATCAGTAATGGGGATCACATTGGTGGGAATATTGGCCGATAGGTCTAGACGGCAGCGGCGGCGGCCCGTGAGGAGTCCTTTCTTGTTCCATCATAAATTCAATTAAATACTTAAGTTTAAATATGTGAATGCGAAAGGTTCAAGGTCCGGTGTGTGAGCGTAACTTTCAACTAGTGATTTCCGCTGCACCCCCACGAACTTACAAAAATTGCTTAACATTTATATGCATTTGCCTGACCAAAAATTTACGTTTAACAATAAAGAATTTTCTAGAGCTGAGTAAGCAAAAAATTACTAACAGGTATCCTATATTTTGTGATAATAACTACCAGGTATCTCATATTTTCAAAATACATCCTTAAAATGTGGAAAAACTGACCACCTAGGGATTTTCCGTTCTTCCTCCGTCAAACCCACTCATCCGTCAATTACATCTTCTTTCTTTCTTCTTTTCCCCATCTTCTTCTCTCAACCTCTCTCTTCTTCTTTCTCTCTTCATTCTCTTCTTCTTCTTCTTCTTCTTCTTCTCCCAGCAGTTTTGTAGAGCACCTACCCATACATAGTGGCGCACAGACACTGCACAGATACTCTTACTCCTTCACTCTCCAAGGTAAATCCCACCCTCTTCCCACAAGTAACTCAGTGAGGTGAAAATTAAATTTTTTTCTTCTGTGAGTTCATCTTTTTCTTTTGAAATTTCTGATTTCTGTTCTTTGATCGAGAAGACATGGGATTTTTTAATACTCGGGTAATTAATTTGAGGGTATATGGTTCAGGTATCGTGGTTTTGAATTCGAAGCAATTGTCATTATCTTTCTGGTACTCATCTTTTGAGCAATGGGTGCCCCAATTTCACCTCCAATCTGGGAATTATGTGAGAAAGATTGGGACTTGTGCACCACTATAATAATAATAATAATAATAATAATAATAATAATAACAATAATAATAATAATAGTAATAATAATAATAATAATAATAATAATAATAATAATAATAATAGAATAAAAAGGAATTCAAAACAAAAAAAGGAAGAAGAAAAAAAGGGGTTGGGAGGGGGGTGTTAGCATATTTGTGTATATATATTGTATGAAATGCTATGGGTACACCAAAGGTGTACCCCATTTGTCTCCCACTCCCTCCATTACTACATAAATGAGCAAGAATTTTTAAAAAAAATAAATAAATAAAAAATAGATAAAAATAGGTGGTGGAGAAAAGAGTGGGGGACCAATGGGGTACACCAAAGGTGTACCCTAGCATTGCTCATATTGTATTCTTTATGTATTTGTGTTTTGGGACTTCTGGTTTATATCACCACAGGGACTTCGTTTGTATCGCTCATGTATATTTATATGAGCTTATGTATCAATGAAACTCAACCAATTTCATTCCCAAAATTCTATATGGTATCATTGTCTGTACCAATCGCGTATTGCCGGCCAAAGTTCAAAATCGTCGGCCCAATCGCGTGCCGCCGGCTCCATTTGTCGAAGTCTTGCAGAAAATAAACGGACGAACTCCAGCAGCCGTCTCTGAAGAATTCGTCCAGCCGCCGTCGCAGAAGCTCATCCAGTCGCTGGTTCCCAAATTCGACAGCCCGTCTCCGTCTCTCTGACCGCCGATCGCAGGCCTCCATCCGGTAGCACGCCGGATCGCAGAAGCTCGGTCGCAGGTGAATTCGTCCATCCTGTCGCAGAAGCTTGGTCGCAGGCCTCCTTCCGGTCGCACGCCGGATCGCCTCCATCAGCCAGCCGGTCCGTTATCTTCATCCGTTTGCAGTATTTGTGAAGTCAAGGGATTACATTTGTTTCTGTCCGTCCGTTTGCAAAAAAAAAAAAAGTGTGGGGGTCCTACTGCTTTGAAAGGGTTCTGTTTGGTGTCAAACATCACCATCACATTGATATACCATGACTTCTACCTCGTGTGAATGGTTGATTGATAGTGGCGCCTCTCATCACATGACGCGGACCTTGTCTCATTTATTCCGTATTGAGGATGTGACTCCTCAGTCAATTTGTCTCCCGGATGGTTCTCGTATCCTGGCAAGCAAAAAGGGAAGCGTGTGCTTATCTCCCAATTTGGTTCTCCACGATGTTTTATATGTCCCTAACTTGCAATGTCATTTGGTTTCTGTTGGTTGTTTGGTTCAAGAAACTACTTGTCATGTTCTTTTTAATGATCAATGTTGTGTAATACAGGACCGATTGTCGAAGACGGAGATTGGACGAGGTGAACTCCGAAACGGAGTGTACGTCTTTGCCTCATACCCAGCGTCGGCCCTTCTTGTCAAGTCAGAACCATTCGTTCTACACCAACGATTGGGTCACCCTTCCTCTGATGTTTTTCCTTTTCTTGGTTACAATAAAACAAGTTCTGTTATCAAAAAATTACAAACATGTGAAATTTGTTTTCTGTTCAAGCAAACTCGTTCATCATTTCCCATTAGTCAAAATAAAGCTGATGCCATTTTTGATTTAATTCATTGTGATTTATGGGGACCTTATTCTGCTTGAATATCATCTGGGGCACATTATTTTCTTACTATCGTTGATTATTTTTCTCGAGCTGTCTGGGTGTATCTCATAAAACATAAAAGTGAGGTCACATCTTGTCTCAAACGTTTCTTTGCTATGATAAACACCCAATATTCCAAAATTATAAAAGTAGTGCGCTCTGACAATGGTACCGAGTTCCTTAATACTTCTTTGCGTCAATACTATGATGATTTGGGTGTTTGTATTCAAACCTCCGGTGTAGGTACACCACAGCAAAATGGTCGAGTTGAACGAAAGCATTGTCATATATTAAATGTTGCTCGATCTCTTATGTTTCAAGCATCACTTCCTATTGAATTCTGGGGGGAGTGTGTCAAAACTGCAGTCTACCTCATCAACCGCACTCCTACCAAACTTCTCGGGGGTAAGTCTCCTCTTGAGATTCTTTCCTCTAAACCACAAGATTTAAGCCATCTCCGTGTCTTTGGTTGTTTGTGCTTTGTTCGACGAATGCCAAAACCCTCAGATAAATTTTCTCCCCGAAGTGTGAAATGTATGTTCGTTGGTTATCCTTACGGTACCAAAGGATGGCGAGTATACAATCTTGAAACTCATCAATTTTTTCACACTCGGGATATCTCATTTGATGAAACCCAATTCCCGTTTGCCCAACCTACACGGTCCCCGTCACCCCTACCCGTCTTGAAACCATCGGCTGAGGATTTCCCGGCCACTGTCAACCCGTCCCAACCGTCGATAGATGTTCCTCCCATCACATCTCAGCCCATCACCCCACAGCCGCAACATACACCATCATCGTCTCCTTCACCGTCTTCTTCCTCCGACAACGACGAGAGTCCTGTCACCTCTCCATCACCGTCCCCTCCTCCTCTTCCACCACGTACTCGGCGTCCTCCCTCCCATCTCAATGACTATGTTCTTTATTCCACCAAAGTCGACACTTCAGTTCTCTCTTCATCTAGTTCGTCTTCGTCAGGTACACGGTTTCCCATTACTCACTTTGTTCATTATAATAAATTGCATGACAGGTACAAAAGTTTCTTGGGTGCAATTGATGCTTCTCCCATTCCTAAAACTTTTAAAGAGGCTGTTCAATATGCTTCATGGCGTGAAGCTATGGCTCAAGAGTTCTTGGCTCTAGAGCATAATCATACTTGGGATATTACTGACCTCCCTCCTAACCGGCGTGCCCTGGGTTGTCAATGGGTGTACAGAACCAAATATAAATTTGATGGTACCAAGGAACGAGATAAAGCTCGGTTGGTGGTATTGGGGAATCACCAGGAGTTCGGGATCGATTTTACTGATACTTTTGCTCCTGTGGCTAAATTAGCCACTGTTCGTGTGTTATTATCTGTTGCGGTGGCTAGGGGTTGGCAGGTAGATCAGTTGGACGTCAACAATGCCTTTTTACATGAGGATCTTCATGATGAAATCTATATGAAGATTCCTCCTGGATATGAGCAGAGCTTTCCCGGGAAGGTTTGTCGTTTGCGCAAATCATTATACGGGCTCCGACAGTCTCCCCGTAATTGGTTCACTAAGCTTCGTATAGCCTTGCGTCGTTATGGTTTTCGTCAGGCTCATGCAGATCATACTCTTTTTGTGTTGTGTCGTGGGCCAGATATGTTGGTGGTTTTGATCTATGTGGATGACATTCTTGTTGTTGGTACCAATTTCATTCCCAAAATTCTATAGGGGGTTAGATCTGATCGCAAGGTAGAGAAGAAGGAGAAGAAGAAAGAAAAGGATGAGAAGAAGAAGAAGCAGCAGAAGAAGAAGCGGATGAGAAAAAAAGAGGGAGGTCGAGAGAAGAAGAGAGAAAAGAAGAAAGAAAGTAGATGATAGAGTTGACGGAGATTGAGTTTGACAGAGGAAGAACGGAAAATCCCTCCCTGGTTACTTTTCCCAAATTTTAAGGTACCTCATGGTACATTTTGAAAACATGAGGTACCTGTTAGTTATTATCACAAAATATGGGGTACCTGTTAGCAATTTTTTGCTGAGTAAGTATATGGGACTATTATTATTATTATTATTATTATGGTAAGGAATTATTTATATATAGTTAGTTAACTATTATTAGGAAATAATATATTTGTTAGGTGATTAATTAGTTTCCTAGTTTATTTAGTTACCTTTTATAATTAGGATTCTTAATTATTTAGTTACCATGTACTCCGTATTATTGAGATTCTCTAGAGTTGGAGCCCATAAATGTAGCTATCACCATAGTATTATCAATCAATGAATAAAGACAATACTTTCTCCTAAACCTTAATCTTTCTCTCTTCCTCGCCTCTTTTGTTCTTGGAGCTCGAAGGTGCTCGAAATCATTCCCTATCCCGATACGATACCGTATCAATTGGTGCTCTCATTCTTGAACTCACAAAAAAAATCCAAAGAAAAAAAACCCCCTTTTGCTGGAAAAAAAATTGTGTGCCGATCGATTAGGAACATCATTGTCTCTGAATTGTGTGCTGGTAATTGCAAGTCATCATCACTCACAAGATCACAAGCTATGCCATCAAGATGATTTTGGCCATCTCCCTGGGACCGTGTACCTAATTTGCCATAGTGAAACTCAAGACCCATATATTGGTAAAATTCCTCCACACAAGATTTGGGGTATTATTACTATTTTTTTAGTGATATTTTTGTGTGGTGGTATTTCTTTTGGCAATGGATTCTTTGTTAGACAAAGTTCTTGGTTTACTTGAGAAAGTTCTACGGGGACAAATTGAATTTTATGAAGGAGTGTGTGTAGTTGAAGATTCCGTGGATGAGATTATAAAAAAACTTCAGACAGTCCGTTTAATTGATGGTCCACCAAAATATGATTCCGAGGTATATGCGTTCGCCGTAGAAGCCTATTGTTCAATACAGGATTTAGTCCGTGGTCTCCCAATTATGCCGAGCCTGATTCCTATAGAGTTATATATTTTCAAAACAACCATGATGCGCTCTATAAGGAAACTCATCGGCACTCCACGAGATTCGGCCCCTACAGTACCTGTGCAGAACACAACTTTGCAGAACCAGAAATTTGAAAAGGAAATTCTTATTAACCCTATTGGTGTTCTCGATGATGATCTTATTATCAGAATCTCAATAATACGGAGTACATGGTAACTAAATAATTAAGAATCCTAATTATAAAAGGTAACTAAATAAACTAGGAAACTAATTAATCACCTAACAATATATTATTCCCTAATAATAGTTAACTAACTATATATAAATAATTCCTTACGATAATAATAATAATAATAATAATAATAATAATAATAATAATAATCCCGTAACAGATTCTCTAGAGTTGGAGCCTATAAATGTAGCTATCACCATAGTATTATCAATCAATCAATAAAGAATAATCATTTTTTCTAAACCCTAATCCTTCTCTCTTTCTCACCTCTTTTGTTCTTGGAGCTCGAAGGTGCTCGAAATCCTTCTCTATCCCGATACGATACTGTATCAGAAGATAAGTGTGTGATTATCGCACTTTTAAATTTGGCGCAAAAGAGACAATTGATACAACGTTTTTAAATAATTAGAGACAATTAGTGTAAATTTTAAAGTTTAGGGCGAGAATTCACGCAATTTTTTGAAAAGTTTAGAAGAAAAGGGCGCAAAAAAGTTCCACGATACAATATCACGGATTATTTTTTATTTTTCTTAAATTTTGTGCTAGATTAATTAAATTAGGACTATTTTCTCAGAAGGAGGGGTATGTAACTGGTCCGCAAGACATGGAAGTAAACATTTTGTTTGGTTGTCTTGTGGGAGATGAGTATATAGGGTCACTATCTAGTCCATTCATAAGATGCAAAGTTGGCTGGCTACTGACCCATTTGAGTTTATATTAGAATGCCCCATCTGCCCCTAAACACAAAGCAGACCACAATACTGACACTATAACCCATTGATAAGAAGTGCATTAGGCCATAGGGTGTGGGACGGTCTTTTTGAGCTATGCCCTCCGGGTCCTTCCCAATCTATCACCACTTAATAATGTGTTAGCAACACATCTCAATAACACTCTCTCTATCTTAGAATTCTTTGTCTGGTTTAACTTTTTTGAGTCAAACTGCAAAATTTTGATCTTCAATTACATTTAGTTAGTATTGCATGTGAATACAACAAAATAACACTTTGATAGTATTTCGGAAGATAAATCTAATAAAAATTATTTTTATACAAATATTCAATACAATTTTGACATGAAAAAATGAAACTAGAAAATACTCTGGGACGTATATCGATGTAATAGAATTAAATTAGACGTTATTTAGATTTTTTAAAGTAACTTAGCATAGAAATCTTAATTGAATCCGATGAAATCGTCTCTCTTTTTCTTTGTCTTCCTAACCTCCCTGTCTGAAAGCAACCCAATATTAAAGTTTTGGTAAATTTTGATGGCGTCCCCCCTCTTCTCAAAAAGAAGATGTACGATGTCACCGAGTTCAATTACGGTTTTTTTTAAGTTATTCAAAAAAGTTCAAACGACGTTCATATTAATTCCATTACTTTATACTCCTTAGTTCCAAATTATTCTTTCGAGTTATTGGTATGGATGATCTTTCGATAACTTAAGTTTGTATATATATTTTCATTGATCATTTGATAAAATTAAACATTCTTAATTGACACCTCTTTTTGTACTCTCTATGTCTCAATTTAAATCGCATGTTTAATATTCACATGATCAACTTTTTAATAACCACGTTCTTTACCCATTTTCGCTACCCATTTGATAAAAATATAATATAGTCTTGTCCCCTTTTATTTTGGGACGGAGAGAGTAAAAATTTATTTTGATCTAATTTTAAACAGTGTAACTTAAAATTTTTAATTCTATACCAATTTATCAATAAAATCATTTTATAAGAGATAAGATCTTCTAAGTTTTTCCAACGAGGAAGAATGAATTGGGACAGATGGAATGCATTTTGTCATTTCATTGTTTCCAATTCCATGTCGGTCAAAAGAATTCCGTGTAATTAAGCTCAAAGCTGATTTAATTAGGCTGGAGTAACAATGTAAAATGCAACATTTTTTTTAGTGTATTGTCGTGCAAAAGAAAATTTGAAAGTAATTATACTCCCTCCGTTCCAAAAAGAATGGGACGGTTTGACTTTTTGGAAAATTAAGGGAGGGATATTTTGGTATTGGTTTTTCAAAAGTACCCTTGATATGATGGGTAAAAGTAGGATGTGATGGTAGATTATTAGAAAAAAGGTATGATGTGATAGGTATGATATGAAAAAATAAAAGGTAAAAGTGGTTTTTTAATAGAAATGTAACGAACTTTACGGGACGCAGTTTTTTCTAAACGTAACAAACTTTTTGGGACGGAGGGAGTATATAATTGGGCGAATCTGGGAGTATTTGTATGGTTTTTTCTTTTAAAATATCATACTTTTAAACTCACAATAATTAGTTATGTAGAAATACTCCTCCGTCCACAAATAAACTTTTTGTTTACTAATCGCAGGGTCAAACTTTTTTCACTTTGTTGGCCTATTTTTGTCACCTATTTGATAAAATAATATAGTCATGTCACCTCTAATTTTGTAAATCTTTTTATATAGTTTTTTAATATGTAATTTTATTTTTAAATTTCACACTAATTTTTATATAAAATGATTTGAAAATAACTTCAATCAAACATCGTAACGCGCAACGGGAAGTTTATTTGTGGACGGAGAGAGTATATATTCATTTTTTGGCAAACAAATATATATCCATTGTTTCAATACTCCGTATAATTTTAAAATTTTGGGATGTAATTGTGGAGCTATACGGGCGAGTGAGGGCTAGGTTGGGGCCTTGGGGGGGTGCGTTTGTAGGTCTGAAGTTTTGGGATTGAACGAAACACTACAGGATTTCCATATGAACCAATCAATAGTGGTGTTTGTCCTAAAAAATTAGTGGCTCCTGGATTCCACTTTTAAAATTTGAAATCCTTGAATTTAAATTTGTTGGACATAAGAGGGATTGGCCTAAATTCAATTTTATTTTTTAATTTAAACTTGTAATTTGGATAAAATTTAAATTTAAATTTATCCTGACATTGAGTTTCAATGTATAACATTAGCCTTAGTTGAAGCACCACCTAAGGTACCTGATTCATAAAATTAATGGTTTCTACTTTCATTAACCCCTTGAATACCCTCCCACCTGGGCTCGACCCGAACCCCACCCTCATTTTAATTGTACTCCCCAAATTTAATTGACTTTTGTCTTAATTTTTGTTTATCAAAACAGTAAAATTGGAATTGAAGTCTTCAATTTTATTTTATTCCGTGGTTTGAATTTCATGTACCAAACGAAGTCTTAATTGCTTCCACCGCACACATTAAATAGCAATAGTATTTACTTCCTTCTCGTGATTATCGTCATATTTTGAATAATGTACTACAAGTCAAGCATTACTATTTTATTTTATCAAATAAACACAGAAATAAAAGTTAACGAAAAATTGGTTGAGAAAGCATCAGAATAGTTAGTTTTGGAACGGAAAGAGTAGTAGCAAAAGGTCATGTTTGGTTGAGTAGGATCATCATCAAGCGCAGCTAAGGTTGAGCTACTGGCGTAGAAAGTACATAACATAACCAAAAGGCAAAAGTTTCCCTCTTTTTTTCATCATCAAGACACACACACATACACTCATTCATCATATACCCATCAAAATTCTCTCCAATATTTAAAAGAATTTTAACTAATGACAGATCAGAATAGGGCAAAAATAAAAAGGGGGGAATGAAGAAGTGGGAGAGGGGAAAAGAGAGACGATTTATAATGAAACATTTTAATTTGTTAATGAAGAAATTATCTCTACACGTCGTCGGATCGGAGCATATCTCCATTTGTACTCCTTCCATTCATCGATTCCTATAGAGATGAATGAAATCAGTGGAAACTTGCACTGAAAGGGGCTGCTGCTGATATTATTGGCCACTCACTTTCCCACCCTTGCATTGAAGAAAGTTGCTGCATTTTATACACACCACCATTTGTTTTTTTCTATTAGACACATTTTCATGCACAAATTATCTAACTAGAACAAACCTTCGACATTTGTATTCCAAAATTAATTTATTTGTGTCATTTATCCTTGAATTTTTCAAAAATTACGCAGATTCCTTTCGATCTTTAAAAATTGCATCACTGTCTCCTAGCTTTCAAAAAATCTGCACCAATGACCTCTCTACTTTATATTTTGGAGTGTGTTAATCACACGTTCATCCAATGATCTTTAAACCTTTGATCATTATTCTCGCGCAATTTAGTCGTCGGTAATCAAATCCGAAAGTCAAACATCAGTCGACAAAAGTCATCATTAATCATCGATCAACTTCTTCATCACTCAATGACATCTTCATTGAGCTCCAACGAGTATATTGATGAGCACGTGATTGACACACTCCCAAACCTGGTCCAGATGGACCATTATTGGTGCAAAATTTTTAAAAGTCCAGAGTGAATCTACACAATTTTTAAATAGTTGAAAGCTAAAGATGTTTTGTAATCTATGAAAAGATAATACCAAAAAATAATTTGAAATGTAGGCACAAATGCCAAAACTTGAGGGAAATGTGTATGCTTGTTTGTTTGTGAAGGAAATGAGAAAATATATACCGTAAAATAAGAAGAGGAGGAGTCGAGGTAAAAGTCGGCGATGGAAAGGGAAGAATTGTTGCTGTTGTTAAGGTTGTCTTTCCTTTGTTGTGCCGCCATAACATCCTCCTCCTCCTCCTCTTTCTCACTCTCCGTCCCTCATCCTCCATTGTTATTCCTTTCTTCCTCTTCTTCTCCCATGTACGCCGCCGCCGCCGCCACCTAATTAACCAAAACCACAGTCGTCACCAAACGAAACGATTGGCTTTAGAAAACATCTTCAAATAGAATAAATCAATTCCCAATCAGCAGGAATAGCCTGGGTAGCTAGCTAGCTACGTACCTCTTTTGGGAAGAAGGTGGTATCCATGGCAAAATCGAGGTGGTGGTGGTGGTGGTGCCTGGTGGGGGGGTTCATGACAGCAAGTTTCATAGACAAGAACTCCACTTGCTTTTGGAGGGATTGGACATAGTTTATGATCTCGTCCAGCATCCCTGCTTTCCCTACCACTTTGTTACACCCCGGCACCAAATCTTGTAGACACTTCATCTTCTTGCTTATTTTCTCCCTCCTTGCCTGCATTCAATTTCATTCATCATCACTTCAAGCTAGCTAGATTCTTTTCTTCTTTTTTTTTATAAAAAAAAGATTCATTTTTTAATATGGAATTCATCAGAGATACGATGAGTAATTGTTTAATTACCCTCTCTGCTAAGCTATGGCTATCGGTTGCTTGGCCGCGGCGAGCCCTGACGTGAATGTAATTTGTACTATTAGCCGTGGCGGCGGCGGCGGCAGCTTTCTTGCTCTGTTTCGAAGCAGAGTGTCCGGAAGTCTGTCTTTCAGATTTCACGGTGATCTCCGATGACTGTGCCTCCCAGCTCTCTCCTTCCGATTTCTTTTCTTCCAAACAACGCTGCTGCTGCTGCTGCTGCCAGTTAATTATATTTTAAAAAAATTATATTTCAGATTTCAGTATTCAAATTCCCGGGTTTTGTTTTGATCGGAATTGCAGATTATAAGCACAAACCTCTGCTTTCCTCTTCCTCGTCGATTTCCCGGCGGGGGCGGCGCTCCGGGGGTTTAACTTTATTAAAGAAGTCGGCGGCGCGGCCGTTACGGATGAGTTGCACCGCGAAAGAACTCCGGCGGCGGCTTTCCTTGGGGAGCTGTCATCGAGATTCCAGTGGGACGCGAAGTTGGCGTCGTCGAGCATGCCGGGAAACGGGTTCCCTCCGGCGGCGGCGGGAATCGGGTGGTGGTGCTGCTGCGGGTAGAAGCGCTGGAAGATGGCTCTCTGCCTTTCAAGAACGCCCAAGTCGCCGGGGATAGAAACGACGACGTCGCTCTCGGGTGAAGATTGCATTGTTGTCGTCAAAAAAGTAAAGTCTCAGGCGGCGAATAGTAAAGAGAATCAGAGAAAAGAATGCAGAGCGAGGAAGGGAGAGGAGTGTGGGTGGATTTTTATATGCGTACTCGGAATAGAAAGTAGTACTTATAATTAGCGTAGAAATGAAGGAATAATTAATTACTGGTAAATTAAATGGGGAATGTATTGATTGATTGGGAGAGACATACAGCTGGCATGGAGGAGGAGGAGGAGGAGTGGACCAAGTCGGCCTTGGCTCCCACTACTTCTCCGGTACAGAGTCCACGTGAGAATGTCCGGTTCGACGGTGAACGGAAAATCAACAACGGAGTGGTTGTTGGTTGCTTCACGGATCGGACATGATATGAGTGAAATTAGTAGTGAATAGGATTAAAACATGAGTCATTTCCAAATATAGGACTTAAACTTTTTTATTCCCTAAAAAGAATTTAATAATGACTAGTGAGAAGAACAATGTCCAAGTGATGTTGGACATTTAGTTGAATAATGACTAATAAATAATGACCAAAGGTCCTACATAGGAAAATAAAAACATATGGTCCTATATTGAGAAAGTCATTATGTTTTAGTCCTATTTAGGTAAATTACTCATGTGATGATACCCCATGCATCCTCGGCTCTCCTACTCTATTCTCCACTCTCTAGCTATGAATGAAAATGGGACACAACCATGCCCGCTACCAATCCAAGGAGATGATGTCAACCACATTGATTCTACGGTCGAATTCCGACAACAACAATGTAACGATTTTATTTTTTGTAATATCTTCTTGTGCGCACTGGGCATGCCACAGCCTCTCTAAGAACTAAATTAAAATTATATCATATTTTACCCGCAATTTCCAAGTGTTGCCTACCTTTGGAAATATTTTCTCCCTCTCAAATTCATCTTTCTACTTTTATTTTTACCTAATCTTATACGAGTAATATTTATTTCATTTCTTAAAAGTTAAAAAAAAATGAAATAACTGATTTATATTAATTTGCACCCTTATTCGCAAATTTTATGAAATAATTTTATTTTTATTAAATTACGTGAAAAAAGCAAGCACATGATTTTAGAACGAATGGAATGATTGATTTAAACATTTTGATATTCCTTGAACGAAAATTACTCCTTTCAACGCAATCACTATATTGGGCACTCCATAACTTTATATTTTGTTCGTAAATTTTCATTGATATTTTGATAAAAAAATATACTCCATCCGTCCTATATCTTTCTTTTCGTTGCGCAAAATAAAAAAAATCCCAAGTTTTTTCAATCTATTTTATTTAAATATTGGTATAGAAATAAAAAAATAAAACATATATATTTAAAAACTACATCAAAAGTTCAACAAAACAAGTGGTGACAAGAATATTTTATTTTATCATATAGGCCATGAAAAAACACAAATAAATATAAATTCCCGTAAGTTGGAATAGTGCTCTGGGAAGAAAGTTTTAGGACAGAGGGAATACTTGTCATGTTTTGTTTTATAAATGGGAGACTTCTTAAAAAGTGTAAAAAGTATAAAAATACAAAAATAAGACAAACATTATTAGTTACACTGTCTGAGATTACGCTGAGACATTCACCACATCATCACAATATCGCACTATGTATGCCCACCATTTGCCGCCGCCAGTTATTGAGGCACCACCGCCAGTCATTGATGTGCCACTACCAGTTATAAATGTTGGTCGATGGTTCACTAGTGATTGACCAATCATACATCGGTCCCTGATTATTTGTTTGGTTTTGATTTTTTTGTTGTCAATTATCTTTAACATTTCATCTATTATCTTTCTAGAGCATTTGTCCACTTTCATTTTTACACAGCATCCAATACATTTCTTTAATCTATTTTATCTTGTAATTTGTATATTAAAAAATTATAGAAATTATATATTAATAATCTATATGTTAAGACAAATCAAGACCACACATGACTATATTTAGGCTTACACATTGAGAGAATTTGATGAGTCAAAGTGCTTAGATGAAAAGTTCCAAAAGTCAAAACTGGACAAATACTCCGAGACGGAGGGAGTATATATTAACTCAATAAAATAATACTCCCTCCGTCCCAAAAAGTTTGTTACGTTTAGAAAAAATTGCGTCCCTAAAGTTCATTACATTTCTATTAAAAAACCAGTTTTACTCCTTACTTTTTCATACCCTACCTATCACATCATACTTTTACCCATCACATCAAGGGTATTTTTGGAAAGTCACTACCAAAATATCTCTCCCTTAATTTCCTAAAAAGTCAAACCGTCCCATTCTTTTTGGGACGGAGGGAGTATTTTATAAAACGAATCTAATAAATTTTTTTATCTATATCTAAAATTCTTTTTATTTAATTTGTTGTCAAAGTTTGCAAATTTTGACAAAAAAAAAATTAAAATAGACAAATACTCAGGGATGAATGAAGTATAACTGATGGACAAGCATTCCACCAAATAATCCGACCTAATAGGCGGATCGTAAGAACAATTGAGAAACGAGAACTCGAGAATTATGAAATTATACGCTAGGTTTAGCTAGAGGTTTTCCGTTCGGTTTAGCTAAACGAGAACTCGAGAATTATGAAATTATGAAAATTACTGAATTATTTCAGTAATGTTTTGTTTTAGTTTTTTCTCATTTTCCTTACTTTGATATCTATCTTTTTTAAATTTTTTCCTAAAGTAATTAAGACTAATCTTTAAAAAAAGGAACCATTTTAAAAATTTAATGGAAACATCAATTAATAAAATTTATAAAAATTAAAGTCAGTTTTCATTTTGTTATACAAAATATGTGATTTTTATTTATCAGTTGTTAATAATTTAACAGTGATCTAAAATTTACATATTTCAATAAAGATGAGATTGTTATGCAACACAGTGAAAAAGTGATATTATTTTTGAAACACAGAATAAAGTATAAATTTGTTTTCAAGAATTTTTTCTTTTAATACGAGTAATAACAACAATAAATGGAGTAAAGTTTCATGCTCAAGAAATGAATTTCCCAGAAAAAGAACATATGGCTGGGAAAACATTAAATGTGACCCCACGGAAAAAGGGGCCAGGCCCGGCTGTTGGATGGTTAACAGACCCATACTCTCGAATGAAATAGTGGGCCTACTATTTGTATAACATCAAATATACAATAAATTTAAAAAAAGGAAAATAAACATAGTGCCATCCAACTTCCGGTATAAGGAATTGACATTCTCAAGCCCCACTTTGTTTTCGCTTCATCACTCATTAATATTTCTCTTCTTCTTTTTATTCAAATAATAATACCCCGGAGTAATAATAAATAATAATAATAATAATAATAATCTTCCACTTCTCGTACATTTAATTATTGTTTAATAGAAATGTTAGAGCTACAAATACAAAGATCACAAAAATGAAAATTTTCTGCGATTCGCACAGTACAGATTTTTTAATTAGATACTACCTCCATCTTAGAGTATTTGTCCACTTTCATTTTTACACACCATCCAATACACTTCTTTAATCCATTTTATCTTGTAATTTGTATATTAAAAAATTATAGAAATTATATATTAATAATCTATATGTTAAGACAAATCAAACAAGATCACACATGACTATATTTAGGCTTACACATTGAGAGAATTTGATGAGTCAAAGTGCTTAGATGAACAATTTCAAAAGTCAAAATGGACGAATATNTTTTTTAATTAGATACTACCTCCATCTTAGAGTATTTGTCCACTTTCATTTTTACACACCATCCAATACACTTCTTTAATCCATTTTATCTTGTAATTTGTATATTAAAAAATTATAGAAATTATATATTAATAATCTATATGTTAAGACAAATCAAACAAGATCACACATGACTATATTTAGGCTTACACATTGAGAGAATTTGATGAGTCAAAGTGCTTAGATGAACAATTTCAAAAGTCAAAATGGACGAATATAGCGGGACGGAGGGAGTATAAGTATACAACTCAGAGAATTTAAAAATAAAGTACGAAAAATATTTTGATAATTTTCAAACTTATATCTCATGATCAATCTTGCGATCAAGTTTTATAGACGTAGAGAAGGACGAGAACTACTGTTCGGCGCCTTTAGTTCTCACTTTCGAGGGCGCTACCCTCAACTCCCGCCAAAGGGGCACTACCCTGACCTGGCATCTCGACTATAGTCAGGGACTTTACCCCCTGGACCCGTAGAGGCTGTGGCTCCTTGATCCCCGCTCGAAACCCCCATTAATTAATAAGGGGATAATGAGATTTTTATCATAATAAAATCAACGAAGCATGCACTCCGCACTACCAAACTTGTTTAATACTCCCCCCGTTCGGAGTATTCGTCTAGTTTTGACTTTTGGAACTGTTCATCTAAGCACTTTGACTCATCAAATTCTCCCAATGTGTAAGCCTAAATATAGTTATGTGTGATCTTGTTTGATTTGTCTTAACATATAGATTATTAATATATAATTTCTATAATTTTTTAATATACAAATTACAAGATAAAATAGATTAAAGAAGTGTATTGGATGGTGTGTAAAAATGAAAGTGGACAAATACTCTGGGACGGAGGTAGTAATTCTTAGCATACTTATCATATTATACCTTTTTACTAATAACTTACCTGTCATATCATACTTTTATACATCAGATCAAGAGTATTTTTGGAAAGTCAACACCAAATATCTATCTCTTAAATTTTTTAAAAGTAAAAATGAGAAAAAGTTTAAGAGACAGAGAAAGTACTTTATTTTTCTTCTATTTTCTATTTCCGTAACATATTCAAAGTTTATAAACTTGGATCACAAACTTAGATAATGGTTAAAATTAGGCGTGGCATGGTTTGGGTCTGGTTATAGTACGGCCAGGCGGAGGAATTGCCCATAATATCGACTTGCTAGCGAGGACGAATTTGATTCTGGAATCGGCATTTTTTGTTCTGGTCCAGGTCTGATTTTTTATTTAAATAATGATATGGCTGAATTTTATATATGAATCATGTAGTTTTTATATTTAGAATAATGAAAATCAGATAGTATATAATTAAGTATTAACTGCATTTAATCTTCTGACGATTAAAAAAAGTGACAA